GTGTGTGTGTGTGTGTGTGTGTGTGTGTGTGTGTGTGTGTGTGTGTGTGTGTGTGTGTGTGTGTGTGTGTGTGTGTGTGTGCAGGAAGCATGAACGTGGACGTGGAGGGGATTATCCAGTGCATCAAGCAGGGGGATGAGAACGGTGTTCAGATGCAGCTGCAGGAGTTCAACAAAGAGGTAATTCCACACAGAAGCTCGCACATCCTCGTACACGATGCGCTACACGCCGCTTATGACATTTCTTTTGTCATCATTTGTCCCCGCAGTACGCACAGTGCTTCTTCTTTGATGCAGAGGAGAGGGAAAAAAAGAAAGTAAGTCGGTTTGTGCTACTGCGCCCGGTAGCTGACAGAAAGTTTTCTGTCACATCTCCGTCCCACCAGTGTTCCTTACAACTCTACTACCACACCTCCGTCTCATCCACCCCTCCCCAGCTCCACCCCACAGTCTGTCTGTGATTAGTAATTCTGCTGTATCAGTTGTCCCTGATCCTCTCTGCTTGCATGCTCCGACAGATTGAGTCCAGGCAGAGTGATTGAATAACCAATGTGCTCTTAACTGTCAGGAGAAACAAGGGATGTGTCAGACCTAACTTTAGGAGTTTGGGAAGTTTTTGGTGTAAAAGAAGGAATTTACAAAGTATTTTATCACTAAAAGACGCTCCAGGTCTGTTTAAATACATTACCTTTTAGTTTTAGTTTTAAGTTGGATTTTTAATTTGCATGTAAATGTAATGCAATTACAGTTTCCTTGTTTTCTTTTGTCTGTTATATGATTTTAGTCGAGTCACTCCTCATGCTGCTGTGTATTGCTCAATATGCTTTGTTCACATTCACTGATGCAGACTGGTCACCTGCCACTGTAGACATGATTAAAGTTGACTCAAACATGATGTCATCTGTTGCAAGAGGGCCATTGTCCTGGCTTGAGATATGAGTTAATTGATCAGCAGCTTTGTAATTGTCTCCAACTCCTATTAGGAATTCCAGTGACACTGTTTTCTTTCTCTTCTGCTGCCTTCCTCTTTGAAAAATGGATTACCCGCCACCTACAGCAAAGGAAACTAGAAGAGGTACAGTTTTGACATTTTGTTGAAATCTTCCTTTTAGTTGTAAATGAAAACACCCTAAACGAATACATAAGTAGTAATAAAGTGTGACAAATTTCAATTTTATATCTTCTTTGCATTGCTGTACCAGTTCAGGAAAAATAAAGTGAGGGACTACGCTGACTCTGACTCCGACTTTGACGAGTACGACCAGGAGGATCGAGGCCTCATCCTCAGACAGGTACCGTCACTGTCTGCTTGTGCAGAGGCAATGGTCAGAAGCTCCTTTGAAAAGTTCTCAATGGGTATTTTTTGTTTTTGTACTGTTTCTGTCTTCAGAATTTAGCTCTTGTCCTCCTGAGGTTCATAAGAACAGGAGTCAAATGTCGTCTTTTGAGAGTGTCTCTACGCACCCTGAGAATCCTGTCCAGGGACAAAAAGGTCTTGGGCCCTTTGGTGACCGACAACGCTCTCCTGACTCTGGCCAAGCTAGCCGGGCTGACCACAAGTGACTTCAGTGAAGAAGCCAGCGACCCCGACTCTGATTTCTACGACAACATCATCACTTCTCTTGCCGAGGCCAAAGCGCTGCAGAGTCACACTGACGAGGATGAAGCTGACGGCAACGACCAAAACGAGGAGTGCTCCGCTTTTGACGACGATGCCAAGAGCGACATCAGCATCGCCAACAGCGGGGACATGGACAGCATCAGCTGGTTCGGGAGCCACAGGACCAGCATCAACGAAATGCACCGGGGTGGCGTCCATCACAAGGTGCTGGAGCGAGGGAGGAGGGACCGCAGAGAGAGCAAGATGGAGATGGAGGAAGAGGAAGAGGAGGAAGGGGAGTCAGGGGAGGAGGCCCAGAGAAAAGAGGCCATGAAGGTGTTGTGTAACGTGGTTTACAACAGCACCTGGGCACAGGAGAGGTTCAGTGCTCTCAGGTGGGCTTCCTCACAAAACACACGCACAACTTCACAATTTTCCATAAACATCAAGCTTCTTTTCAGGCTCAGTGTTTTGCAGAAGCATTTAACAATCATTAAGGGAGACGTGTATTGTGGAAAAAGCAGAAACATGCTCCATAAACTATTTGATAATCCTGCCAATTAAATAGACGTACATCAAACTCTGCCTGAAATCAACAAGTTCATGCCTGCTCTGGTGAGGTTATTACATCAAGTGCAATTAAATTGGAGATGAAAATTGATAGGGCAGACTGAGACATGACTCGGTGTCTGTGTATGGCTGATCTTAGGAACAGTGTCATTCTCAGGACCCATAACATTTATTTGGCTTTTGTGCAACATTTTTCCAGACAGATAACATCTTGCTATTTTTCCTGTCAGGCTCCTGTGTGGTCTCATAGAGCGTCTGTCCTCCAGTGTGAACTGCTCGTCTCCCTCCAGTGTTCAGTTCTATGAATTACGCCTCATGTTCCTCATTACTGCACTGCGGCCGGAGCTCAGCACTCAGCTTCATCAGGTAACATGACCTCACACACTACAAACTAACTCTGTGAACTATGTAGCGCAGTGCCGTTGCTAAACTCACCACCCCCCATGCTGCATCTCCTTTTGTTCATGGCATCAACTTCAGTTTAGTCTGATCTTGGTACGTCAAGATTTGTGTTCTTGATCTCTGAACTGGTTTCCTCCTCTCCTCACACTCAGTATTTTCCTCTTTTCAGGAGGGGGGGGTTTCAATCCTCACAGCGGCCTTGGAGAGCTGCCTGGATGTGCAGTGGAAGGAGCAGTATGAGTGTGTGCTGGACCCAGCGACACCACCCATCTCTCTGGAAGCCTCTCAGCGTGTCACTGAGATCCTTAAAATCCTTTTCAATATCACCTACAGCACCCACAGGCAGGAGCCAAGTGAGGTCAGTGAAAATGAGGGTGTAATAAAGCTGTCAGCCTTCAGGTGTCATCGAAAAAAGCAAGAAGAATGAGTCTGCATACAGGTGCAAAAGCTCACATTTTAGAAACTTATAACATGAGTGATGAGATCAGCTAGTCTTTGAGGATATACATACAATTTACATCCACTAAAATGCAAATTAAATGAAAACCTTATAAATGTATCTGTTGTCTTCTAGCTGTGTGTTATTCATCATCAGGCCAGATTAAGAAAGGTAGTTTTTTTTCCCCGTCAGGACGATGCAGCTCTGTACCGACACCTGGTGGCGATCCTGCGACTCTGCCTGATGAGGAAATGCACGCTGACAGATGACACTGATGAGCTGCAGGGGTGAGCATGAAACAGAGTTGGACAAAAAGAACGTTGTGAAGAAGTCATTATTAACAACAAAGCATTTAAACTCATCATCGGTGTTCACTTCTTTTGAAATCCTGCTCTGTGCTATATACTCTCATACTGTTATATGATGTGTTGACAGTATGTATAATACAAATATAAACGAGACGCAGTTTTAGAATCTTATAGATTTTCACATATGAGGAATTTGACTTGATGCATAACAGTACACAATGACAAATATGTATTTTTTTAGAGGAAGATAAAAGATTTTCTTTTACAAAAAAGCAAGAGTTACAAGACAAATAAAAAGTTTTACACAATAAATTAACAACAAGTGTAGCTAACCCAAGAAATTAGAATAGTAATGAAGTAATAAACAGCAATAAAAGTATTTACAGTGTGCAAGAATATGCAAATTATTTACCTGAGAATGTACAAATGTACATAGTATATGGTGCAAACAGCTTGAGATGTGCAAAGGATAATAATTCTATTTTAAAAGCTGTGTGTTAATGTAACTCATTGACTCTGTTACTGTGGGGGGGAGGCAAAGTCACTACGGGTCTCTAGCTTTGTTGATGAGGTCACTTTTTTCATAACGTGTTCTCATGTAAAGAACTGTTATTTTTATAATTTTGTTTTGTTTGTTTTTTTTTACTAGTTATTGTGTTTTTTTGTGTTTACCATTATATAATTTCTATTCTGCCAAAGCCAACCAAACACTCTGTCTCCCTGTTCTCTTCTCTCAACCCCACAGTCACACAGTCAACCTGCTGTCAGCGCTGCCTCTCCAGTGTCTCGACGTGCTGCTGATGGTGCCTCTGGGGCCGGACTCAAAGCAGTGTCAGGGGGTCAACATGGACTGTGTGCACACCCTGCTGATGTTCATGGAGAGACGTCTGGAGTCGGTGAGGGAGGGAGGGAGGAAGGAGGAGGGTTGTGCTCAGAGCAAACCTTTTGGTTTTTTTAAGAGTCTGTTCCTAAAATAAAAACTTTACATATTTGAGTCTGAAACAGGGACTATCTGCTAATACTAAAATAACCAGAGAAGGGTTTCTTTGTTTGTGTGCTTTTCAGGGGGATAAAGTCAAAGAGAAGCTGACACCAATCCTCAATCTGCTGACGGAGAGCTGCAGGGCCCACAGAGAAACACGCCACTACATCAGGAAACATGTAATATTCCTGAAAAGCTGTACCTCTAAGAGAGATGTCACATTTTCCTTTTTAAACCACGATGACCACCCTAAATTGCTAATATACTGCCGGTCCTTTGAGTGCCACCAAAACAGCTGTGACCTGCTGAGGCATGGACTCTATCTAGGTGTCCTGTAATGTCAGGCACCTAAACGTTAGCAGCAAAACCTTTAAATTATGATATGGAGCCATAACAGACCAGACTTGTTCCAACCTGTTGATGGGTGCTCATTACTGCTGACCAGAGGCATCCTACAAACCTCACCTCTTTACACCGGTCTATTTCTCCTGCATCCATTGCATTGCCTAAAAGAACTGACTGTTCATTCAATATTTAAAACATTTTCTCTCCATCTCTGAGCGGTCATAAAGCTTCTGCTCGTCCGTATATATTTGCAGCTCGTGTTGAAATGATCGTTTCTCCCCCTCATTAGATTCTGCCTCCTCTGAGAGACGTATCACACAGACCAGAGGAAGGCTCCACAGTGAAGAACCGTCTGGTTCGTCTTATGACTCATTTGGATACAGACGTCAAACATTGTGCTGCTGACCTTATCTTTGTCCTATGCAAGGAAAATGGTAAGCCCTGAAACCTGTCACTCTTCTGGATGAATGGAGAAAATTACGACATAGAAGCAACACTGATGTTGAAATTAAAAGATGTGATCTGAGTTTTAAAAATTAAAATGATGAGAAATCATTAAATCATTGTCTTCCCTTAAATTCCCTTTTAAATTGACTTGATATTGTATTGTTCATATTTATTCTATATGTCTTTAAATAGTTTTTTGAACATTGAAACCCATATTCAAAATGTTTCTTAGTCTAGTTTTGAGTCAGATTAATTTCACCACCTCTTATTTCATGTATTTCCCACTATCTGTGTACTTTCTCTCCACCCATCATCCTTTCACCTCCGCTTCTTGTTTTCCAGTGAGGCGTTTTGTCAAGTACACAGGTTATGGTAATGCAGCGGGCCTGTTGGCCACCAGAGGTCTGCTGGGAGGTCAGGGGCCCAGGACCTCTGATGCCCAGTACTCCAGCGACTCCGACTCAGATACCGAGGAATACCGGCAGGTCAAAGACCGCATCAACCCGGTGACGGGGCGGGTGGAGGTGGAGCAGCCGGACCCCATGGAGGGCATGACGGAGGAGGAGAAGGAGGAAGAGGCCAAGAGGCTCATCATGCTCTTCAACAAGCTGTCCAGGTCGGTAAAACACTTCCAGACAGGCAGGAGAAACACTGTCTAATGCAGGGATCTCCAACTCCGGTCCTTGTGAGCTACTGTCCTGCTAGAGATCCAATCATTTGAGTCAGGTGTGTGGCAGTACTGAAACGTCTGAAACCTGCAGGACAGTAGCTCACGAGGACCGGAGTTGGAGATCTCTGGTCTAATGCTATTGAAGATACAGGAGAGTCTTAAATTGTCCTAATAAATACATTCCCTGAGGAAGTCATTAAAGAGAGGAGCTCCAGCTATGACCTAAAAGTGAATTGGTATTGACTCCCAGCACAGTAAACCTGAAAAGAGAGTTGTAAACGTTTAATCTTTCTCTTGTTTGAAATGAAACAGAGCAAAGATGATTAAATTATCTGTTCCTGAAACGTTATCCAAGTATTATCAGAATCAGATAAAGCTTTATTGCCAGGTGAGCTCGCACACACAAGAGGAACTTGACTTGATAACTGAAACTCACTGTGCTCACAAAAAGTTAATTATACAACAAGATAGCAGCAGAGTTCCTAAGTAATAAATATCAAATCTAAATCTAAAGTCCTAATAAATATAACAAGCTAGGAAGCTTCATGATAGAGGTTACACTATCAAACACCGCTGACATTAAAATAATTTGTGTAAATCTCTGAATGCTGATCGCTAGGATGAGGACGGCGTTACTGCTGATGATTCCACATCTCTGACGCCTCGTGTGTTTTTGCAGAGATAACATCATCCAGCCGATGGGAGTGGATGCTGAAGGGAAGCTCGTCCCGATGTCAGGACTTGGGGGAAATTCCCTCACCGAGGAAGGAAAGTCAGAGTCAGAGAAAGACGGAGAAGCAGGTGAAGGAGAGAAGGACTGAAACATGTCAAATCCACTCGTTCAGTTTATTGATTGTTCTCTTTGTAAATATCCCATTTCTAAAGTTTGTCAGTGCATAAATATTTATTGTAACTTCGTGGATGGCGCCGAAGGAATGAGATGTAGTTCTCATCCAGACACAACCAGCCGTTCTGACAACTGAAGAAAGGATATAAAAAAAAGATCATTTCACATTTCTTCTTCTTTGGATTCAGACTAGTAATTTAGAGCAGCAATAAGGTCACACTGGTTCGAATGAAACTCTGAATCTGTAGTAGCTCCTGAGAAGGAATTGATTTCACGGTGATAATACCCATAAATGTTTGAATAAAGTCTTAAAGTCTTCTTGCTCGTTCTGACGCTGTGCGCATTTAGATCAGTTTCGTCCAGTCTTCTGCAGAGCGTTGCTTTAGAGGAAATTCCAAACAGGCCACATCAGATACATGAACTCATGACCCCCATCGAACAAGATGGAATAAACATCTGCGCAGCACATGGACTTGCCTCTGTACGGCGTGTGATGTACTGCAGTACACAACATGTGCTCAGGTGTAAATTGGGTGTGTTGTATGAAAACTGTCTCATGCCATACAAAACATTTGGATGGATTCCAGATGCTCTGATCACATCTGCACCGTTAAATTACCTTTAAATTGCTGTTTGTTTTAGCTGTGGCTGAACAGTAGAGTCCATTTTATTACTGTTTGTGGATTCAGGTATTGTTATTAAACTGCATTTCGTTTTAGCTAGGGACTGTTACAGTGCTGCTCTTATCTTCTTCATCTGATACTTGTGCTTAATGGACACATTCCTTCTTTGATATTATCATGATTGGTGAGCTTCTGGGTGGTTTTTCACATTTATTTAGGAGGCATTAACTTACTTTAGCACAAACACAGTATTTACAAGGGCAGAGTGAACAGTGGGTGGAAACAGTTTACCTCTTGAGCTGAGTGACAGAGCTCTTTTGTTTAAGTCATTCTCTTAAACTAGCACCAATATTTATCATTTACGTAAGAAAGATCCTATCAAATCCATCCATCCATTATCTTTTATTATAAAATTTCCCCTTGGGGATTAAAAAAGTATTTCTATCTATCTATCTATCTATCTATCTATCTATCTATCTATCTATCTATCTATCTATCTATCTATCTATCTAGCTATCTAGCTATCTATCTAGCTATCTATCCTCAATATGTTTTGGGACTGTGGGAGGAAGCCGGAGAACCTGGAGAGAACCCACGGGGAGAACATGTAAACTCCACGCAGAAATCGGCAACCTTCTTGCTGCGAGGCAACAGTGCTAACCACCGCATCACCTTGTAGCCCTCGTACCAAATCAGTTGTTTAAAACTGGGTATAAAAAAGTACATATTGCTGCTGAACGTGGTCCCTTTAGTAAATATGTTTGGTCCATTGTGAAGTTCCAGCCAATCCAACACTAACACAATTATTATTACACTTATTATTATGACATGATCTGTTCTATTTGGTGTAGAATCAAGACCTAAAATGTTCATAGACTGTCAAGCTTTTCATGTCGAGATTGAGGATTTTGAAAAAGGGTAAACGATGACTTTCAGGTTCAGCAGACTGCATCAGCACAACTCCATCATCTCTTCGAGGGACATCTGCAGCTCTACAGACTGCAGGGAGGAGGCGCCACCTTCAACAGCCAAATTTTTCAGTAACTCCATTGAAGTCAGGACCACCTGAGACGGACAAAAAAAAACAAGCAGCAGAAGTCAGACGCAGTGACAAGAATGACAAGACCAAGATTTGAGTTTGACAGGAGCCGTGAAATCTGAGCAAGCAACAGGACATGTCAGGTTGGTCTCATTAAAGTAAACTTTCTGTATGGGCTTTTCATTTCGCAGCATGCACTCCTTGTGTGGAGGCTCAAGAGCTGAAAAACCTTTTACAACTGAAGGATCAGCTGTCAGCACCGGTATTCAGGCTTTGTTCCCTCAGTGCTATTAATCAATACTGAGACAAAATTGCCTCTTGAAAAGTGCTGCTGAGTACAGCTCCCTTGAGTGGGCAATTTTGTGGGTTTGATCACTCATGAAATTTAATAGAAGTTTGTGCAACAAAAAAAAAAAAATCTGTGCCAAACTGAAATACCGCTTTAAGGTGTGAGAGCAAAACACTGTTTGTGTGTTTTAATAATTTAAAAGTCCTCTCACCTCCACTGTGATGAGCTTCTTCTCCCAAGGCCTGCTGTCAGGCCACTTCTCCCCAAGGCAGAGGAACAGGGAGCAGGGCGGGCTGTCTTTGCCTTCGATGAAGTCCAATATTCCTACACATAAAGCACATGTAAACATACTGTCCGTTTATCAGCATGCAGACAAAAAGCTGCATAATTACTCCTTCCACCCACCTCGCACAAAGTCCCTGAACTGGTAAAGCGCCTGCGGCTGCAGTTTAGGAATCTCTTGGGGCTGCTGGCTCTGGTCGAACTTGGAGAAGCTCCAGAAAGCTTTGATTTCACCCCGTCGCTGGCCGTAGACCACGTGGCCGGACACCCCCACATCCAAGCCGTCGCCCAGTTTGTCGAGAATCCGTTGGGTCAGAGTGGCTTGAGTTTTATCCAGCATGACTCCAGGAGTTGGCAGAGAGACCACGGAGAGGCCTGACTCATGATCCAAAACTGTCCCCTTGAGCTCAGGGCTGATGTGGAGACATTATTCATTTGATTTCAAGCTGAATAGACGGTTATACAACAGAGAACACTGAGGAATATTTTGGCATTTTTCTTGCAGAGAGAAAGACGAGAACATTGATTCCAAACTCACGTCTGTGCTGTAAATATGTAGCAACATTTAGACCTTGCCTGGACCTTATTGCACTTTTTATAAAGGCTAAACAAACCACTTCTGGCTCCAGCTACATATTTAACCAACAGAAATAAAAGTGGTATCAACCTTCCTAATTTATTACTTTTGGCAAGCAAAAGAAAAAGCACATTTCATATAAAATTAACCAGATGGTTTCAAGTCAAAATGGGAATGCTGATTATTTGTTTCCTGTGATAGAAGGTGTATTTGGATGTTACCTGTAGACTAAGCGGATTCCAGCTTCATTCTCAACCGTCTGCTCTGACACCATCACTCCTCTGTAGTACACTGAGATCCTGAACTGAGTCTCTAAGGATTCAGAAACAGGAGAAGTGTATGAGAACAGGCTGCAGATCTGGATTGATATCAATCATACTGACAGGGTGCGTTGTGTTTGACACCCTTATAAAACATATTCCATTTGAATATTATGTAAAAGCATTTCTTTGTAAATTCTTCATGTTCTTGTCACACACAGCATCCCCCCCCCCTCCAACTTACTGAAATTATCTCCATCTTTAGTCTTGTTCATTGTATGTAGGAACTGTGCCGCCAACTGCCCATCACAGGCCCCTCCCACAGCTCCCTCCATTGGACGTGCTGGTTGCTCAGGCAACCCAGTTTCACCGTCTGCACCCTCAAACGTTACTGGATACTGCTGTTGCCCAGGCAACGCGCATCCACCAATCACAACCTGATTCTGGAGCTGCTGTTGCTCGGGAGGAGGCTCAAAGCCTGCGGTGCCCTCTGTGGAAAAGTTGGAGAAACTGAGAAACTGTTTCTAGGAAAGTACCTTGGATACTCTTTTTTTTTGTTGTTTTTCTGCTCCTACTGCAGCAGTGAGGAGGAAATGCTGATGAGTCTACCTGTATCAGGGCCAATGTTCAGTTCCTTCAGACACTCCTGGAGAATATCCTGACTGGCTGAGGATTCTGCTGGCAGATATTGATTAGTTCAGAAACATTCAAACTAGAAACATTTCATTAAAGTACACTTTGAATAAATATTATAGAAGGAGCTGCTTTACCAGGAAGATACACGGTGTCTTCTGCAAGGTAGAGGCATTCTTCAAATGAACCGAGCTGGCTCTGAGAGATCACAGATACACATCAGAATCAAGTGTTATCATTTCACAGCATTTGCATAGTGTTTACATTTTAATCCCTGCGCTCCTGTAAGTAAAACACACAGGCGACACTTACATCTTGTGTAGGAAGACCATAATCCTCAAACAAATCAGCGTCATCTTGTTCCTGGGATCCAGCAGAAGAGTTAGCTTTGAGAGTGGAAGCAAAGATCTCTGCTTACTATCTTGTCATCACTTACTCTCCTTTAATATTTAACCTTTAATCTCATAATCCGCTTTTACAAATGGCATCCACTCACATGCTCTGCATTTGCATGTTACCTTGACAAGTTTTAACCAGAGAAACAGAAAACAAACAGGCATGAATGCAGTGAGGAGGTGTTCAGATATGTGCTGATAGAAAGGTGCACATTTTAAATCCATGAATAGAGCATATTTAAATATACATAAGCAGTGAGTGTGGTGCACCTGCTGTATTAGCAGATTTTTACATTTGTGCAATTTGAAATTCAACATGTTCATTGTTAGTTACAGCAGTAAAAAGGAGCAAAAAACAACTTCTCTCCTTCTTGGCATCATAAATAATTACAGCACATGAGCTCAATAATAATAAATTAGCATTTTTGTATTTTTCGCTGTGCATTTTCAGTGCCAGGTGCCAGTGAAGACACATCTAATTTGCTTTTCTGTCATCGGAGCAAACAGTTCTTTTTATCTTGCTTGTTGTTCTCTACAACACAGGACCCGGTTGGTGGATCCTCACCTCCTGATGGCGACTCGTCCGGCCAGCGAAACACTTTATGAGGGTTTGCAGCGTCGTTCTTGCTATCGGACACCATTTTAAAGCCTTTAGCTCGGAGGGCGCTGCGAAAATTCCTCTTCCAGACCGAGGGGTCTCCCTGAGCCCGGCCATTCCCGCTAACCTCAGCCCAGGCCTGCGAAGGAGAAGCAGATTGAAAAGCTGGACGATTCACACGAGGTGCACAAATTACAACCTGATAGAAGTTGGATTCTTTAACCCTATTCACGACCTTTTGGGGTCGTTTGGACCCCGGGCCATTTGGTTTAGGTGACAGGTATTGGGGTTTTTTATTTTTGAAGATTTTTTTTTAATATAAAAAGAGGGACATTTGTCATGCATTGGGACCCAAAATTATGTCAAATTATCAGAAAATGTATTTAACATAGTCTAAAAGTCTATAATGAATACCAACACATATTTTGCACGTATTCTTTCTTGGAGTCCAATGGACCAAGAAAGACCTTCTACTTATGGCAACATCAAAGTCCTGAATAGGGTTAAACATTACAGTACAGTACAGGGGATTTCTAGAGTGTTTTTGTTACATCATGTCATTAATAATGCAGCTACCTTGAAGATGAGACTGTCGGTGTCGGACGAGTCCTGTCTCAAAGCGTGTTTCCAGGGGATGGAGAACTCTGTCCGCTCTGAGTTTGTCCAGAGGACGCCGGGAAACTTGCCACTGTCGATCTTGGCCCGCAGCCACGGCATGAGCAGCGGTTTCTGGTGAGACATTTCTACCGGGGCAAGAAAAAACAGGTTTTCAAGATTAGAAACTGCATTCATCATTTCTAACTTTATGTCACACACGCTTCAGGGATATATTTCACCGAACAGCGACGTTCACGTGGTGTGCTTAAACAAAAATAGCGAATAAAGACTGAATGTTCAATCCTCATAATGATGCATATGTATTGAAATGTAACCTTATTTTATGCATTAATATTTATTATTTAAATTATGCCCATGTCTGCCTGTAGAGGACACTATTGAGTCATTTTATAGCTCAATTTATGCAGAGAAAAAGGAATTTTACCAATATTAGTATCAACAAGGCAGCAAAGTGTCAACTTAAATTTTAAATTAAAAAAAACTTGATTCCAATGTATAAAATCTGTTAAATGGACACAATCTGTGCTACTGAACCTGGCTACCTTATTTTTTTTAAGGATGCAAATCCCAAACGTTAAGACTAAGTCATACCATAAAAGTGATCATTAGAGATTTAATCGAAGAATCTTCCTGTTTGAGAGCTCGTTCATAAAAAAAAGAAATGAAAAAATCTATGTATGTTAATTTAGTTCTTCTTTTTTCTTTTTTCACTCTCTATAAATGATCAGAGGTTGAAGAAGAAGCGAGCACGCGAGCATCCACCCTCAGATGTCCGCAGGACTGTGGTGCAGCTGAGGAAACTATATTTACAATCTGTGAGAAAGAGGAAGCAGGCAAATATGATATCAGACCGGAACTGTTAAAATACTCCTAATATGACCAAAATGTTCAAAATCATGCCTGCAAGTAGTTTAATCACCACAGCAGAATGTGTGAAGCAATAAAAACATAACTTAAACTCAAGTAAAACGTATGGCTTAGAGCTATTTCCTTTTAAAAAACATATAGAACAATTTCAGCATAACATGTACACAAGAAACATGCTTGAGAGAACAAATTAAGAGGGAAATTAAATCATAAAGGAGTGCAGCTTTGTTTTAATTAAATTAAATGTAAAATCCTGAAAGGAGAACAATGTTGGCTCCAACACTTTAGCACTGAGTTTTAATTTGAATAAGTTTGGCGTCCACGTGTGAATCCTCCATGGGGAATCTTTATCTCAGGAGTCGTTCGAAACTATACAAACAAGTTATTTCTGCGTGAGGTGAACTTTATTTTCACATTTGAATATGACCAGTTAATTTAGAATTGATCAGCTCAACACGGATCACAGTTAGAGAGAGTCTAACTTCAACTTTTTAACATAAAAATTATGTCACATCAGCAGGAAATATCACAGATCATGAAAAATAAATAACTTATGATCAGATTAACGCATAAGCTTCCATGTGACCCTCTTGTAAACAGTGTGTAGGAATGATCTCATTCCTCATAAACCCACCACTTGTTTTCAACTGTCAAATTATTACATCATCACCCCTCAGAACCGCCAGTTTTGATTCCCTCACAATGATTTTAAAGCTATTTAAAGATCAGTAGCACCACTATCATTGTAGAAAAGACCTGAAATGAAAACATCCAGTGGAAATATGGGACCTATTGAACCAGTTTGTCCTTCTAATACTGAACAATCCCCTCCTTGCAGTGTAAAATGTGAATCTACACATTCATTTAACAGTTGTTTTGTTATGCTGTGGCGTTTATTAAAGCAGAAAACAACACACAACCACTCCTAATATCGCGGTGAAAGTACTTTCTGAGTGCATCTTGGTCTAATTTCTCTCTTTTTTGTCTTATCCAGACCAGTCAGACCAAAGCTGTCCTACCTGAGGGGACGAGGTCTCAGCGCAGGTGAGAGTTGAGCTCAAACGCAGCTTTCTGGGTCACAAGTCATGAAATGTGACAGAGAAACAAAACTGTCAGCGAGTGTGGGCTGTTAGATTCCTTAAATACCGTCCAGAGACTGTGTTCGTTGTTTCACGGGAAACTCCGACAGCTTGGTTTCGTTTTCCACATGTGACGTCAGAGAGGTTTCTGCCCGCTAGGTGGAGTCAGACATGGGGATCAGGGCTTTCTATCCTTCTGAGGACACCCGAGCTGTTAGAGCCCCTAAAAGAACACGAGGTCAATGGGATGTAGGGAATGTGTCCTCTTTAGTAGTGATCTAAGAAAAGACTACAGACCCAGCTCTTGACAGACTGAAAACAAACAAAACATAAATCCTATTCCCTCCCTACAGCCTCCTGTTGGCATCAACGCCCTGTCACACTTGAACTTCTTCTATGACACTTATCCAGGTTGTTTTCGCCTCACTAGATCCTTGCTTGTGTTGTATCCGCTCTCAGGATGTACGTCGCTTTGGATAAAAGCAGAATAAAAATGTAGAGTTGTAGCGTCTTAACACACTGGCCATAGCTCAGCAGATCTCGTGTTATTACATGTTAATTACACTGTTTTCAAGTTTGTTTCAGGGCAAAATGGACATGAAATGTGAGATATTGTGCCCCGAGCAAGCTTTTATTCTATTTGTTCCCTAATATTGGTCGATTTTATTTAATATCACAGACAGAAATTGCAGATTGGACCATCGATTATGTAGGAATTAGCCTTATATATATGATAATTTACAGCTAGAATCTGATGTCAGAGATGTGGTTTGGAAATACTTGTCCTCACAAATGGTATTTTACAGTAATTTGGACTATTTAACCTCTTAAGACCTGGCGTCTGCATATGTGGACATCACATTTTGTGTTTTATTACCACAGTAGTTGATTTTTTGTATTCATTTTTTAATTTGTATTATTTTATGATTGTTTTTTATTTTAGTTACCTATTTTTGTTTTGTTTTGTTTACATTTTTTAAATATATTTTTATTTTCTTTATTTTTTTAATTTTTGATTCTTTTATAAATTAAAAAAAACGCATATCAAACAACAGCTTGGGTCTTAAGAGGTTAAAAAGCTCAGGAAAAGGCGAAAAGAAAAAAAAAAGGTTCACCCATATAGTCCAATAGTAACTAAAATAAATAACTAATAACAATCTGATCAAATTTTACAGGTTGTGATTTATGACAGGAACAAATAAAAAAGAAATTCATAGCCAGATCAGATAACTACAGCAACGTACAATAAAACAATAAAATGTTTTTTCGTTTCTACTTGGCCGCCAACAAGTCATGGTGATGTGTTACTGTAATAATTCTAGAGGTCAAGTGTCGGTGTCATCCAGGTAACGCTAGGAGCTTCAGTAAAAAGAAACTGGACTTCTCGTTTACAACTAAAAGGATTACAGAGGTCATTTTCTATATGTGGTTGTGGGAAGCATTCAGACTCACAATAATGTCCCTGCTGCAAATATCCTGCTGTGAGACTGTGAAACTGAAAAGATCTCTGTGATAAAACACGCGGCGCGATGGGAAAATATGTTGGCTTCAGTAAACAGACCAGACTTTTTTACAACAGAAAAATGAAATCGTAATATTTTCGATTACCATTATCGCATAATTGCTTTAACACATAATTGGAATAATAGACGAATAGATGCATTCTAACATTTGCAAATAATAATAATATAGGATTTAATTAATTAATAGGAAAGATTTAGATCCAGGACTGTTAATCAAACATTTGGGGCTAAAGCCTTAGATGAGGCCTGAAAATACCCACCCAAAGAAATACACAAAAGAAGGAAATGACCTTTATTATTGGGCTGCAAGGTGAGCAGTGGTTAGCACTGTTGCCCCACAGCAAGAAGGTCGCCGGTTCACGTCCTGGTGAGGACACCCTGGATCCTTCTGTGTGGAGTTTGCATGTTCTCCCCGTGCAGCGTGGGTTCTCTCCAGGTTTCCAGCTTCCTCCCACAGTCCAAAACCATGTTGAGGTTAATTGGTGATTCTAAATTGTCCGTAGGTGTGAATGTGAGTGTGAATGGTTGTCTGTCTCTAAGTGTAGCCCTGTGATAGACTGGTGACCTGTCCAGGGTGTCCTCTGGGATAGACTCCAGCCCCCCACAACCCTAATGAGGATAAAGCAGTGTATAGATAATGGATGGATAGATGGATGGATGGACGGATGACCTTTATTACATTTTATGACATCTTCACCATAAACTGATGCAAAAGAAAACACACAAATGAATCAGAACGTAGGGAATGTGAAGACTGAAATTCATCCAGACACCTTCTTAATGTGTCTCCCCTCCCCCAAATATTCAAACAAAATCTACACCCATGCCTCGAGACAGTCATGTCTGTGCATTAAAAAAAGAGATCTATTTTTATAAATTTAAATTAAATTCTTCAAATTGGCTCCTTGAGAAATCCCAGAAGCTGGTGAGTTAGCTGGAGGTCTTCCACATGAAACTTGTGTAAACTGCAGTCTCGCCCAGAATGAGCTCAAGAAACTTCCAGCTTCCTTCCATCAGTTTCCACACATACACGATCAAACATCCAACTCATGGCACCGTAGAAGGAAACTTTAATTAATCCCATTTTACTGCGTCAAAAGTCTTTTAAATAAGAGCGGACCGGCCAAAATGTTCCCTCATGTGGTGTAAACACTGTCCTCACAGAGATGGCTGTTCAAGCGTGCACACACACTCACACACACACACACACTCTCACACAGTAGGGAAATGAAACCATTTGTTCTTTGCAGATTTTATTTGTTTCTCAAATACAGGAGAGTTAATGTACAGAAGGACAAAGAATTTCATCAAGAACTGTACAATATTTACACATCTTTTTTTCCTTTTTTATGGAAAATTAGATTGTTTTCAAAATAAGTCATAGTATGCACAAACATCAAAATGATAAAAATGAAATGACTATTTCCTCTTTAAATATTACTTATTTATACTCCTTCTTCCCACATGGGAAATGGATAGTTTACTTCTTTTTCTTTGCACCTGCATGACTGATGATTGAACTGAAGCACAACAATGTTAAGTTTCAAATAGATTTTTGCCATTCTCTTCTCCTTTTTTTTTCTCTTTTCGTCCTTTTTTTTGTTTGTTTTTTCTCTCGTTATTTTACACCCACTGTATTTGATACAATATTTCTCAACGTCTGTTCTTTTGTATAGAGGGAAGACGACTTGGATATGTGGGTTATGATTGTATACTGAACCTGTGGAAAATAAAAAGGTATTTAAAATGTTAGGGCAGCAAAACCAGCGCTCGTGAGAGTTTAAGTTAAAAACCTCCTCATATAAATAATAAAAATGTGTTTATATATTATCACACAGCTGACTGGTGCTGCCCTTCACGTAGCACAGAATGAGAGAGAGAGAGAGAGAGAGAGAGCATTTATTAACACATTTCATGTTTCTATCCGTGGACGAGTCCATGGTCACGCTGCTCACGGCACACTCTACACGCAGTTTAAAAAGCATTCTCACCCTCTTCCACTCTTTTCAAAAGCCAACAGCTGATGTTAGTCTTTTCAAAAAATAATTTATGTAAAAACTAAGCAGTAATAGTTTCTCTTTGAACTATTGTCTTTATGACACACAGTTAACAAGATGTCAGTGGCTCCTCCGTTGACTTGGCATCGCGGCTCCTCCTCTTCCCGTCCGTCCACCTCGTGTCTCTCCCCCCTTTTTTTTTCTTTTTTTTTTTTTTTTTTATTCTTAAAACCGACGGTGAATTCCCTCTTGACCCTCCAGGGACCCCCTTAATCCGGTGGGGTCTCGCAAAAGTAAGACATTTCTTTAGTCACTGATCAACAACAAGGAAAAAACAAAAAAACAAAAAAACAGAGGCCAGTGTCCGAGGTCACGTCAACAGACCCTCTTGTGTTCGTCAAGGGCCTTAGAGATTTGAAGAGGGTCGGGGGGGCTGTACAGTGGGATCCATCTCTTTCCATTTTTCTTTTTGTTTTTTAAAATCCTCTCACTTCTTTTTAAGTCTGTCTCTTAACGCGACTGAATCAGGCTTTGGTGCTGAGCGTGAGCAGCTCGATGAAGGAGCTGAAGAGGGTGTCCAGCCAGCTCTGGTTGGCCATGCACTGCTGCACCACTTCCTCTTGGCCCGGGTCCTCAGCTGCCTGCTCAATGGTGTTGGTCTGGGAAAGACAGACACACAACTGTGACCAAACCGGGGCGCCGAGCCAAAAAGAAAGCATATGGTGACTCGAGCTCCAAAATGACAAAATCCCGTCGATAAACCAACGGGACCAGAGCTCTTGGTGTCAGTAGAAACATGCCTGCTTACCTCTTTCTTGCACTGTAAGAAGGTGTGGTATTTATAGTGATGCAGAGAGTGGTAGAGACTGTAGATCCGGTATGAGTCGGCTGACAGTTTAAGGTCCTGCAAGAGAGAAATCAAATCACAGCTGGTTTTATTAAATCTTTTAGTCTTGCAGTGAATTTTTTTCTTTTTTTTAAAAAAAAAACAGTGAAAGTAGAGCAGGTTTGGAAACCAGCAGCAGGTGTTTTCTGTCACCCACCGCTCGCTGTAGTGGTTAATCTGGTCAGTGAAGCGGTTTCAGTGTCTATATTTTGTCACCCTGCTGCACGATGCTATTATATTTTCTACAACTTGTACTCGTGTGGGGCTTTTTTGTAATCCAGAAATGTTAGAATCAACTGAAATGATAAAAATCTCCTACAACAGTCAGTAGAGGGTCTTATTAACTACAACAATGTTCTACAATCTAAAGAGGGTAAAATGCAAAAAGAGAATTTGGCAGTACTACTTTTTTTTTTAAATGCACGTAATCATGACAGTGACACCTCAACCTGAAAACGCTCACCTGTGGTTTAGGCAGGGTCTTTTTGACTCTGTTGAGGGTCTTGCGGTTGTAAGCGTCACCGCTTAGCCGGACCCTCACCACTCCTGTGTCCAGGGGGTCTACAATGATCTGCGGATAAGCATGCAGGACCTCCTGTCACGAAGGAAGCAGAAAAACAATCAGGAACAGACACTAAATATTTACATAAAGACAAACTTAACAAGAAAAGTGACGTCATTTTGTGCTTATTTTGATTACCAGTAAATATGCTGATTAATATGCATTTGGTAAATAAAATGTCAAAGCTACAAAAAAAAGATTTGTAAATAGTAAAGTTTGCCATATTTGCTTGAGAAATGATTGAAATGATTCATAAATTATTCATTGATTCTCTGTTTTCTGATGAACCAATTTGTCTCAACAGTGGAATCCCTTGAATGAGTCTATCACAAATTACAGCAGATTTTACAGAGAAAAACTTCTTTGCATCTTTGTAAATGAAGGACAAACAGAAAGGGGAATTCAACACTTTTTTTTCAGTCCAGAGGATCGGCAAGAGAAGCGGCGCGTTGAGGGCAGATTACCTGGTGCTGAGAGCTCATGCTGACTCTCCTCAACAACCTCCTCTTCTGTTCGCTGAGGATGCTGTCAATCTTCCTCATCGGAGGGAGGTAGAGCTCATCTGACGGCCAATCAAGGTAAAGGAGGTTTCATTAGTCATCATTCATGCAGCTGCCAATCATTTTAATACCAAGGACAAATTCAAAGCAGCTCTCTCTGGCTGCTGATCTATCAGCATTCCCAGGGCTTCCCTCCCACCCGTCACACCTTGTTTATCTGAATTTCAGAAACCATTAAAACTTTCATCTAAATAAGCATGCCAAATCCTCAACAACAAGTCCACTGCTACTGAGGGGGGAGAGTTTGTCCAGCTGGATGCTTCGACCTAAAACCTGGCAGCTGATACTTGTCAGTGGTGCCGATGTTTACTCAACCTGCCCAAACTTCCCGCTTCTGAAAATACAGTGAAAATGCTCCAATACCGCAATTTCAAAGCAGCTGCAGAAAACATGCAACCAGACAGGCAAGTCTGGTCGAGTTATAGATAATGTTCTTAAAAGCTGCATCGGAGCATTTCCATCATTTCTGTCTCCTGTGTGTCAGGAGACTTTTAAAGGAAGTTTAGCTGGTAACTGTGTGGAGGAGGCAGTGTGTGCAGGTCTCACCGTCTGTGTCCTCCAGGGCTTGGATCATGTCGGGGTCCAGAGCTGTGCTCACCAGCATCTCCACGTAGCTCCTGAACATCTCCCTCATGGCACGGTTGTTCACTCCGCCTTTCACTGGCACTGAGGGGGCGAGAAACCGAGTTTAAAACCTTGCAATCCACCTTCTACCATCATACTTCTGAAGTCAAACTGCAAGCATGAAGAATCAAAATGGGCTCTCACTCTCATTTTCACTGGCTGCCTCATCCGATGAGTCCGAGTCAGACGATGAAGGGACTTCCTTCAGCCACTTCTTCCTCTTCTTGGGCGGTGGCTCCGCCTTCACTTTGGCTGGTTTGGACTTGGGTGGTCGCTCAGCCTTTTCCTTCTCCTTCCTCTCCAGCGCTTTCTTGTCTTCCTTCGCTCTGCCTCGTTCTCCAACTCCGCCACGTTTCTCCACCTTCTCCTGCTGAGGCTGGACTCGTTTCTCCTTCTCCCTCTCCTTCTCGGCGTCCCTCTCCTTCTCCTTGGCTTTGGCCACAGCAGCTGGAGCCTCCTTCTTCTCTCGTTGTTCTTTCGTCGTTGCAGCGGTTGCCGTCCTCGTTTTCTCCCTCTGTTCACGCTGAACCGGTGGAGTCACTCTCTCCTCCTTCTCCACGGCTCTCGGTGGCGGCTGGGTGGCAGGGGGGGATGCCATTCTGGGGAGGGACTGGCGTCTGTGAGGCATGACGAAACTGAGTTTAACGGAATGTATTTATACTGAAATCAATCTCAGCTACTACAATAGTCAGCATAACCTCCAGGGCCGCATAAATCCACCTGCTTTTTCACTTCATCTTCTGAACAAGTCCCCAAAATGGTAATGTCTCAACAATCAATAGCCTATTTCCACAGCTAGACTTCAGTCAACCAAGGCCCCCCTCATCATACACATGGTGGCTGCTTAGGTATTTGCAGGAGTTAGTCGTTTACTGCTCAGCTGGGATCTCCTCTGTCAAGTCTTAATTTGATGTGGAGTGATGATAAATATCTGTACCTGAGAGCAGGCGTGGCTCTGCGCCACGGTCTCCGAGAGCACACCCTGACGTAGTCCTTCTTGTTGACATTCTCGAGAAACTTGACATATATCCGCTGGTACCGCCTCTTCGCATCTCCGAAGTAGCCAAGATACTGAAACACCAACAGATGATACATTTAATTCTAAACCAGCACAATTTTTGATTGTAATGTGGCTTGTGAGAAATGCATTAAGAAGAGCACCTACTACAGTATTTTTTATCACATTACAGATGAAAGTCAACATGACTGTTTGCAGGTGTGGCTGCATTACTCACATTGCTTGTGGCGCAGAACTGTCTCTGCCCATCTTTGATCTCTGGGCTGAACTTCTGCAGCAGGGCTTTCTGTACCCTCCAGATGGGTGGAGGCTCACGGCCCGTCTGTAGGGCCAGCTGTGCCCAAACACAGAACACACAGTTAAGTAGAAAATCTTTCTGTGACCCACAGCTACAGAAGGATTCAAATAAACACATTAAAAATACAGCACCAAGTGTTTTCAGTTTCAACAATAACTTAGACAACTCTATCAGTATCCTGTACCGACACCTACATATCACTGTAAGAATGACTGTACTGATGTGCCACTAAACAACACACACAAATACCTTGAGAGTTCGAATGTCTTCCACGCGCACCACAAACTCGTCCCTTTCTCTGAAGATGCCCTCCCCTCCGCTCTCGCTCTCATCCTCCTCGCTCTCCCCGACGATGGCCGCATCTTCTTGTTTCTGGGCAAGGTGCAGCGAGGTGATCTTGGGAGCTGGGGGCTCTTCGGGAGAGGCGGGGGACTCCGGAGATGGCATGGGAGACTCCTTCTGAGTCGCAGGTGGTGGTGGGGGTAGTGGTGGCGGCGGTGGTGGTGGTGGAGAAGCAGGAGAAGCAGGGGAGGCTGAAGCAGGAGGAGGAGTGGCAGGCTGAGAGACGGGAGCAGGTGGGGGAGGCGGCGGAGAAGGCGAGGTGGGAGCGATGGGGCTCGGAGGCTGGGAGTCCTCCCGTTGTTCTTCCGGTGCAGGCAGGGGTGAGGGGAGCGAGAGGGGAGGGAGGGGGGAATGAGAGGGGGAGGAGGATGAGGCAGGAGATGGAGGGATGGAGGGAGGCTCGGGGGTGGCGGGTTCTGGGGGAATCTCGGGGAGAGGAGCTGGAAGGAACAAGGAATAAGAAAACCAAATGTAATCAAGTAAATTAAAAAAAAGAGTAAACACACAAAAATGATGTTCATTTTACTTAAGCTCTGCTGCAGAAAAATCAATGAGCAAGAAAACTGGGCATAAGATGAAAAAGAAGTCTCACCATCAAGCTTAGGGGCACCCAGGGTTTCCAGCTGTGGTTCTCTCTCCTCTGTCATATCACTCTCTTCATCCCCTCCTGTGCTTCTTTCCTCCTCATTCTCCTCCTCCTCCTCCTTGTTCTCATCCATGTCTCCGTCTTCTGCCTGAAGGACGTCCGGTTCGTTGGACTGGGGTTGAGCGTGAGGCGTGTGCATGGTGGGCTGTGGGCTCAGCGTGGGGGGCTGCAGTGTAGGGGTAAGAGGGGCCTGAGTAGGCTGAGTCTGAGGCTGGGGAGGTGGAGGAGGTAGCGGGGGCTGGATGTTAGAGGTTAGCTGAGGAGTGTCGTACAGAGCAGAAATGGCTGAGGAGATGCTCTTCTGGAGGTCCTGGTTCTTCCCGACTGAGTCCTCCTCGTCGGAGGAGAAAGAAGGCAAAGTCTCCAGATTTCTCTTTAGCTCATCCTCTAAGCGCTTGGGGCTGGGGCAGTTACCCAGAGCCAGACCCCCATTGCCCTCACCATCCCCGAATGGAGGAGGCGGTGGCGGAGGAGGAGGTGCAGGAGACAGAGGGCGCAGGCCCCCTGATTTACAGGGTGAAGTTTCACCATTGTCGGGTTCCATTCCTGGTGAGATATCCAAGCCTGGAGGTCTCTTCCCCGTCTTGAGGAAGTCCAAGAATGAAGCGACAAAGCCAGCCTTGGATTCAGAGTCCTTCTCATCCCCCTAGAAGAAACACAAAAGAGAGACTCAGCTCAAATCCACAACTATTTAGCCATAAACTAACTATACCCATTTAAATTCAGCTTAGCACAATTTTAAGCATTCTTTGCTTAGCATAGCAGCAATACAATCCTGGAGCAGTTACCCTTTCCTCCAGCCCCTCGTCATCCACTCCTTCACTCATCATCTGGCTCTTCTGTTTGTTCTTGTCCTGACTTCTGGTGCTTTCAGTGCTGCAGGGAGGTCCGGGACTTAAACCGAGCGAGGGAGCCGAGCCAACTGAGCCGTCTGACAAAGCAGGGTCCGTGCCAGACAGAGAGTCTGTCCTCAGCAAAGCATCAGAGGAGGACAGGGTACCGATGGGCAACTTGATCTGAAACAAAACAAAGTAAAGAGTAATATTTAAAGTATTTTTAAATCCCAGATGAACAGATATATTTCAGAACATCTAGAAAGCCATGGCTCATTCATTTTTAATTAGTAGCATTTATATGGGACAGAGACAGGCTGCGCCGAACAAAAAGTGTGACTGGTCTGAAAATAAAAGAGTGAGGGTGAATGTAGAGTAAGGGATTGCGAAACAGACACAGATAAAAAGAACAATCCTCGGCAGGCACATGGCCAGAGCCTGTAGCAGCTGTATGCAGGTAACACAAACTATAAAAACTGCAGATATTTGTCAACTCTCTCTTCCCTCACTAAAAAATCAAAATAAATAAAAATCCTCATTAACCCTCTGAACTTCAAAATATGTCTGCAGGTGTGAAAGGCCTGTTATCTTATAAAAACAGCCACAATTACACCACTTAGGAGAGCCAGAAAAGGCAAAAACAGAAAGAATCTACACACTTTCCAACTGTCACTGATCACCTTTTTCTATGTCTTGTTGAAAATTTTGTCAAAGATTAACCATTTGCACAAACCGGATTCTGTAAAAAAAAAAGGAATTATTCTTAGTTCCTCTGTGTAACTGAGCAGAAAAGCAACAAGTTAACATATTGACTAAGTAATAAAATATCTGTAGCATATGGAGCAAGCTTTTTTCCAGTGTTGAAACACCTGTGGGCCCTTGGAAAAATGTTGTACATGTTGCTTCCAGATTTTTTTCCAGATTTGATTTCTGATTTATGGCATTATTATCGTGTCATACTGCACAAAAGACATTTGTAAGTTCTCTCTACTTCTAGCCACGGTCATGCCGTTTCCATAGAGATACCAGATTTTATATTGCAGTGAAAAATGAGCCCACAGTGAGTTAAAATGTGACTGGCAGAAGCAGAACATTTGCAGAAACTGCTTGGGGTTCAGAGGATTAATTCACAATGCAATGCTTATATGTGAATCACTTCTCTCATCTGTGTGTTTGCAAAGGCTACAACAAAGCAACACACTTAGCTTCAATATCTGCTGTTTGTTTTTACATTTGCCAGCCTCAAACCGGTGCATCTAAATCCCTAAGCCTTTTCTCGACAGAGTGCCACTGACCTTGAGAGGTGGAATAGGCTCGTGTTGCTGCTGGGGCTGGTGATGGAGCTGCTGTGGCTGCTGCTGATGGAGGTGATGGTGGTGCATCTGATCCTGCTCCTTCCCGCTCATTTCTATGTACATGTCCTCCCTCCTTCCTCCTCTACCTCTGCTTCCACGGCCTCTACCCCTGCCTCGGCCCTCCACGTTGAATCCACCACCTACTGTTGTTCCACCCATCTCTCCCATCATGCCCCGGGGAGTGTAGGGCTCAGGCATGGGGCGGATGCGAGGTCTGCCTCTCGGCCTCGGGGGACCCTCTCTTTTGGGCCTAGTGGGCTTTCGGCCTCTCTTCTTGGGTCCTTCTGGAGGCAGCAGTGAGTGTGAACCCATAGATGAGTATCCAGAAGAGTGGTAGAAATCAATGTCGCCCATTAAGGGGCTGAGAGATCCACTTCCTCCTCCTCCCTTTCTGCAGCTCGACACCAGATCTGGCAAAAGGTCTGGGAGCCTCCTGCTGTTCAGCCGAATGTCAGCTGGCTGGTCAGCTTTATCCTCGTCGTCCTCAAACTCATACTCTTGAGCATAGCTTTTCTTAGGCAGTGTGTTGGGGTCCCTGCGCTCCTTTAACAGGTGGAAAGAGCTGGACTTGAGGAGCTTCTTGGGACGAGATGAGCAGAATATGGGAGACTGTAGGCCTCCAGAACCAGTTCCTGTGCTTGTTCCTCCAGGCCCAGAGGACATTTTAGCTCCAGAGTTGTTAGGACCAGCAGTATTGGAGCCCATACCCATAGCTGGGGCCTGGGACTGTATCAATCCAAGCTGCTCCGTGTTGACAGTGGAGGGAAGCTCATGCGTTTTAAGGGAGTCTAGATCCAGAGTCATGGTGTTGTTGCTGGGTTCCTCCAGGCCATGACAGTATGGTTCATAACCCTGATCTCCACCATGGTGACCCATTATATCATAGCTAGCTCCACTACTTCCTCCTGCTCCACCTGCACTCTGTCCAGCTTTCATGGAATCCATTCCCTCTTGCCCGGTGTGGCTTTCGTTCATCTCTTCCTGGCCTGGTCCTGCACCACCAGCGCAGCTCGACTTGTAGTCCTCTGCACAGAACATGTCCTCCATTCCTGGAAAAAAGGAGCGATCCTCATCCTGAAGGAGGGAGTCTGGGAAGCAGATAGAAGTTAGGGGTACAAAGCGGTTGCTTTGTTGATTCTGGTCTGCTTTCTCCACCGGGCTGACTGTGTCAAACTGGTGCTGTTCTGAGCGCTGCTGGTCCAGCTGGCTCTGCTGAGGGGTGAGCTGGGCTGAGAGCGGCTGCTGAGGGTCAGGCTGAGACTGGGAGTGGGCTGAGGCAGAGGGTGGGGGTATGTGGTGAGGGTGGGGGGGCTGCTGCTGAGGGTGGGGTTGGCTGTGAGGGTGGTGAGAGTGGGTTTGTTGGTGTTGAGAGGTTGGATGCTGCTGCTGCTGTTGCTGCTGCGCGTGGTGCTGTGAAAGATGGTGCATGTGAGACGCCGTGGACAAGCCGATATCTGGCTCAGTCAGGAATGAGTGGAGCTCTGATGCCGAGTGTTGCTGTGAGTGGTGGGTTTGTTGCGGCTGATGGTGGGGTGGGTGCTGCCTCTGCTGCTCCTGCTGCTGCTGCCTGTGGCGCTCGCTGCTGCCTCCACTCCTTCCTGCGCTGCCCGGTCCACCGCGTCTGTCTTCTGCAACAGCAACGTCTGTGCTGGAGGTCTGGGAAAGGGAACGCTCCAGCATGTCCAGGGAGGAGACCACTGAGCTTTGTTTGACCTGGCTCTGCTCGTGTTGATGTGGAGGGGGCCCGTGATTGTAGTGAGCCGCTGCCACCTCCAAAGCTTGGGACTGCAGCTGAAGCTGGAGCTGGGTGGTTTGTGACTGAGACTGAGCCTGATGTTTACTTGAGCCAAGTCTCCCACCAGCGCTCTCCATTACAGCTTGCTGTTGGCTAATAGAGTGCTGTTGCTGTTGGGGAAGAGAGTCCATTTTATGGTGCTGTTGATGCTGCGAATGAGAATCAATTTTGTGGTGCTGCTGATGTTGATGCGAGTCCATCTTCTGGTGCTGTTGATGCTGAGGGTGGGAGTCCATTTTTGGGTGCTGCTGATGTGGTTGGTGGGAGTCCATCTTGTGGTGCTGTTGGTGCTGCCGATGAGAGTCCATTTTGTGGTGCTGCTGTTGATGTTGGTGGGAGTCCATCTTGTGGTGCTGTTGATGAGGCTCCAGTTTGTTGCGGGTGGTGTGGGACAGCACTGACTGCAGTAGGTGTGGCGGCTGACGGGACTGATCAGTGGGAGAGTCCATGAGCGACGCGGCAGCTTGAGACTGAGAATGCTGCTGCTGGACCTCCGGCGTTTTCCGAGGATAAGGGATTTCTGCACGCTCCTGTGACTTCTTCTGGAGCTCCATTTGGGTGTGCGGTGGTATCTGCGAGTGTGAGGACACATGCTGACTGTGTGAGGAGTGTTGGGGAGCAAGGGAGTGCTGGGTGTACGGGTCACCTCGGCCGTAATGGACAACGGAGCCTAGGTTGTCATGGTGATGGAGGTGGGAGTGTACTTGTTCAGCACTGCTTCTCCCTCCGCTGCTCCGGCTGCTTCCAACAGACCTCTCGTTCCTCTGCTGCTGCTGTTGCTGTTGATGATGGTGTTGTTGATGTTGCTGCTGTTGCTTCTTTAGTGACATCTCCAGCTGGCTGTCCAGCCCTGAGATGGATCCTCCAGAACCTGCATTTCCAACTCCAGCAGTAGATGTGGCACTGTGGGTACGTATGACACTCTGGGGGTGGTACCTCTCCTCAGAGGTCTTACCCATATCATAGCTCATCCCTTTGCCTGAATCAGTGGTTGGGGGTACTGACTGGGGCTGGGGCTGTGTCTGCTGAGACGTCTGTTGGGGCTGCTGTTGAGGATGGTGAGGAGCAGGACTTGCCTGGGCTTGCAGCAGGTGCTGGATCAAGAATTCATCATCATCGTCAACTTCCTCTTGGGATCTCTGAGAGCCCACTCCCAGCATGGAAGTGTCTGCCTTTGATTTGGATGAGGTGGAATGATACGACTGAGGTTGGGAGCTTGGGCCTCTGGTGTCGGGGAAGCCCTGCGGTGAGGCGAGAAAAGTGGGGGAGAGAACTGAAGAAATGTATTTATTTGAGCCTGCGCCTCCTGGAGACTGAGTGGGGCAGGTGGGCACTGGGGAGTGCAATCCTGGACGGATGATGCCTGAGTTGCCTGACGGAGAGGGGCTAGAGTCTGGAATATGATACGACCCTCCGCCACTACCTCCTCCACCTCTCTCATTGGTCATACCATTTCCTGCTCCTCCTCCTGACCCAGAGTTTCCACTCCCTGTGCCGCTGCTGCTTCCTCCCCCAGATGCTCCACTACCTGATGAGCCACTTGATCTTAAAAGGGCAGGTGAGTGACCTGGAGCTCCGTAGCCGAGTGATGGGCTTCCTGCTCCACCCAGAGAGGATGGAAGCGATCCATAAGCAGAGTCAGCTCCGTATATATCAGTGGAGTACGACTGGCTTCGCCCTCCTAAACTCCCATAGCCTTTTCCCCCAGTGCCTGAGCTCAGGTCTTGGGCTTGTGGTGAACTGAAACCTCCATAGGACTGAGCCAGGTGGGATGTAGGGGGCTGGTTCGGGGAATATGACTGCGTCTGTTGTTGGGGTGGGGTCTGGCCAGTAAGAGCAGAGGTGGGGGTCTTCACTGGGGGTACAGGAGAACCGTAGCCTGAGAGGCAAGATTTAGGGAGAGACTGGGGAGCTGAAGTGGAAGTGGCAGGTGGCTGCTGCTGAGGGGCCGGAGGAGGCGGAGCAGGCTGAGGAGGTGGCTGTTGCCTGGAAGGGGCTGCACTGGAGCTGGAGGTGGGAATCGAGTTAGAAGGATGAGCCCCAGAGGTGGCAGAAGAAGAGGAGGAGGAAGAGGAGGTAGAGGAAGCAGAAGGGGGTGTGTGAGGAGTTCTTGAGGATGACGCCGAACTTCCAGAAGAGTATCCACTGCTGGAGCTGCTTTTAGTACCTTTCCCAGCTGAGGATGAAGATGAGGAGGAGGAGGAGGAGGAATAGGGAGGCTGAATGATTGGCCGATACTGCTCAGTTCGAGAGGTGGGCTTGTGGTCGGATGACGGGCTCTGGTCACCCAGTGGGCTGCATGAAAGGCCAGCATGCCTGTGATGGGTGGCAATTTGCTGGTACCCCGCCCCTCCACAGCTGAGGTAGTGCTGAAGAGAGTGGGCAGCAGAGGACGAGAGCTGCGACTGAGCTGGCGTGGGCCGCTGGTAGTGCTTGATAACGCTGTCCTGCCTGGGCACGGCCCTCTCCTGAGCAGAGTTGGACTGCGACTGGGACTGAGGCTGGGGCTGGGCTGAGGAAAACACTGATGGATTATACAGCTGAGAGGATTGATCTTGTAGCTGAGATGACAGCAGGTTGAACTGGTGTGACTGCAGGTGCCTGGCAGAGGACGCTTGGGCCGATGTGGCACCCGTGGGATCCTGGCTGCCCCTGTAGGCAGCTGCAGCGGCCCCCTGTGAGGACAGGAGTCTATCAAAACCCAGGCTGGACTGGGAAGGGGCTTTGATGTGTATTAAGGGGTCGTGTGGGGAGAGCAGGCCATTGGATGTAGGACTGAACGTGGGTGTGTCCTGGAGGGAAAGGGAGGCGGCAGGGAAGGAGCGGCTGGAGAAGGATGCTGGATGTTGATAGGCTGATAGAGCTGAGGAGGAGGGGAAGGAGCCAGAGCCAGGAAGGGCTCCAGAGATGAAGAGTTCAGGAGGAGCAGGCGTGTGCATCGCTGTTAGGAAAAACAAAATATTGCAAAATTACTCAGTAACCATCATTTAAATCTAATACAAATACATTATAACAAGTAAGAACATTGTGACAGTATTCAAAAGTTAGATTATCAACAAGTCCAGGAAAATGTTTACATTTTCAATAAGAATGCTTTGATAGTAACACCAACAGAATAATGATGCAACAGAACATTAGGATTTTTTTTTTTTTTTTTTTTAAATGTCATATCGGCTGTGGGGCCTGTGTGAATGTCAACACATCAGGGAAGATCTAACCCAGCCCCACCTGTCTGCCAGGATGGTGTGCGGAACTGGGAGAGAAGGGAGGAGGCAGAGGGCGGAGGCTGGGGACCCCGGGACTCCAGGGCTGAGATCAGATTCATGACGGAGGCATCGGGGGCAGAGGGGCTGGCATGGTGCAGGCCAGTGTCAAAAAGCCCGGACAGACCTTTAGAATGAAAAGACAGAACAATTAAAAATGGATTAATTGATTTAGAATGCAAATAATAACAGCGGGTTGCAGAGAGGTGCAAAAATACAGGATCCTGGATCTAAATTTAACAGTCTCCAAAAATCTAACTGTATTTGTAATAAATACAAAGAACCTGAAACAGAATGTCAAAAGTTTCATGTGTACCTATGAGACACAGGCAAAATTGTATGGGAGTAAGTACAGGCTTTAACATGAAGAGCTTTGACTGGATTGAGCTATAATGTGCACATTTTTCAATGACAATAATCTACCAGAGACTGCGAGGACAGACACAATAATTCATTGCCTGGGCCCCTTATGGTGGTGACATGGAAGGTATGACATTTATCTTACCCAAACTCCGTCCAGCTGCTCCCCAAGCCCCGCCTTGGCCAGAGCTCCCTGGGTGGTGATTGGTGGCATAGCCCTGCAGAGGGTGTGGGGTGGCGTAGGCTTGTCGGTGAAGGAGCTCAGACTCAGGGTGGGATGATCTGGAACTCCCATATACAAGACTGGGAAGAGAGGGGAGTGGAAGGGGGTTTGTGAAGTGTCATTAATTTCAGAGTACATTTACATAAACCTAATCTGTTCCCAAAATGTGACCCTTGAGAAAAGACTGTCTGAGCTGGGCTCACTTTTAAAAATACACCAAATCTGACATCCAAGTGAGATTGTCTTTCAATTCAAGAAATCTACACATCAGATGTCAACTCATTAGTTTGGCGTCCATATTTAAGTTTTGGCTTCTGAGCAGCAGCCTACAGGTGAAAACCAAACTCCTTTCTGAGTGTGATTTACGCTCTGGAATGACAGTATTACAAACATGCTCATTTTACAAAAATGTGTGCATGCAAAGCTGTCAAAGCAGCACTCCAGTGTCTGCACAATGCAAAATAAAAGGATGGTTGATTTGCAATTATTATCATGGAACCACAAGACTCAACCACTGCATAATATGACATTTTACAAACTGAACAAACTCCTTATTCAACTCTAAAGCGTTTCCTACTGCAGATTTTTATGCTTTACAAAAGACAGATGAAATGCGTGGCTGGCTGGCCGGCCAGATAACATGCTAGCATTTGTGCTGCTGGTAGCACCGCCTAGCAGCAGTGCACAGCAGCTAAAGGTAGAGATGCAGAGACTAGGCCCAAACTGCAAGGCCAGTCTTGCGTATAAATAAAGCATGGGTCACCAAACGGCAGATATGGGCCACATGAAAAACACAGTGTACTCAGTTTATAGCAGACACAAGCGATTAATAAGCCTGTAGCCAGTGATTATGTTGATGTAGCTAACAGCTGGATGGTGCAAGTCGACGCAAATGCATGCTAAGCTGCATGCAAACACCAGCAACTAGCCAGGTTTGTTTAGCCAAATATCACCTCCCGGAGGAGCGTGGCGACTCTGGAGTGTGATCGGGGTGATAAGTGTGCGTTTCAAAATCACACACGTGCAGCTAAATTAAAGGCAATGACGTTTGCGTGCACCAGGCCTCGACTGACTTCCCTGCAACATAAAGCTAGCTCCCCGGCTAACCGAAGCTAAAACACAGAGCAGCTACCTATAACACAGTCCAGGCAATTTCCCTCATCACCTCATGCATTCACTCTGCACCTTGGTGGGGTTTTAAATTTTATTACTACTACAGAAGATGCAAATTGCAGGTCGTGCGCAAAAAAAGGAGATTTGGCTCAATTTTATTATGCAAATGAACATCCAGAACCCACCACCAATTATCTAGATCACGCTTGGCTAAAATGCATCCAAAAGCACGATTCTTTTTCCTTTTTCTTTTCTTTTTTTTGACAGTGTAGCATCCCTCCCTGGCTAAAGATTTCTATTTCACGCTGTGTAGTAATTTAGGAAATGTTTAATTAAAGGTGTCCCCCCTTCGGTTAATGTGCATCTTGTTGATGTCTGTCAGGGGGGCTCTGCTGTGAGGGGGGTTTGCTGCGTCTGCACTCCTCGCAGTTGCTATCAATTCTATGAATTTTACCCATCAGGGTCCAGGCCTGAGCAGCACTGGGAACAATAATTCCTATGGATACTCCAGACATCCCCCCTCCTTCTCCATCTCCACCTCCACCAGGTCTAACCTTAAAAAAAAAAATCTGTCAATCACATTCAATTCATATCCACCAACCTTTTCCTTTTCTCCACCCCGCCCACCCCCACGACTCACCACTCATCCATTCCCTGTTTATAATATTATTACTATGCAACTGTTTGGATGACAATGCACTACACATAATGGCAAGGCATGGCGCTCCATATGAAGCCAATGGCGACAATTTGTTTACATGGGGTCACATCGTAGCCCTTGCACAGCACTACTGATGCATGCACATTGTCTTTGAATCATACCTTGCTTTTGCCGATCTCTCGTAACTCCATCCTGCTCCTGCGCCCAAATCACCAAACCCTGTTCCCGGGTAATTTCTATCCATTTATGTCTTGTACAGTGCTGTGCGATGAGGATGAAAGCAAAACGTCGCAGGGCAGATTTCGGGGAGAGAGAGCGAGAGAGAGAAAAAAAAAATCACACACAAAAAAAATCCTTTCCCGTGCTCGTTTTCAGGCTATTTTCCCCGGTTTCATAAGCAAGTCCTCAGGAGTGGAAAACAGCATATTGAAAGAGAAATGGAGGGGAGGAGGAGAAAGCTGGATGAAAAAAGAGGGGGGTCTACGGGGTTATAATCCAACCACCTCCAAAAAAAGCCACTCTTCCTCCTTTTCCTACGCCTTTTATCATTTCCACGAATGCAGCCCGAAAGCAGTCATGGTGAAGATGCCGCGGATTTTGGCCGGTGCTGGGCGAAATGCTGATAAACATTTGACTTGAATGCGTCCCTTTTCTCGCCGTCTCTCCTCCCCTTTCTTTAGGCTAGTTTCGGCTACGCTGCTAGCAACTAGAAAAGACTGCGATTGACAGGGCCACGTTGGTAGCAATCATTCCCCCCTCCGACGGACGAAGCAAAGAAATCCCCAATTTCTAAATCTTTTTTTTCTTCTTCTTCTTCTTCTCCTCCTTTGCATGCAAATGGTTCCCACCCCCCTCCGGAGCGGAGCTTGTGTGCTAGCAGCAGATGCTAGCTGTCAGTAACGACGCATCAAAATAAAACAGGGCTGCTTTTATTTCCCCCCTAAATGCTCGCTCCCCTTGTTCCTTTTTCACGGCTTGGAAAAACAAAAAAAACAACAAAAAAAGCAGGGTAGCTAACGCTGGAGAAAATTCAGGCAAGAGTACGAGAAGAAAAAAAACCGAACAAGGAAGTGTAAAGAAAAGCAGGCCGCGTTTTAATATTTTTTACTCATTTTCCTCCGGAGACGCCATTTTTGAAGGCGGCTAGCCGCTGTCCGTCCTCCCTCTCCCCCTCCGCGTCTCACCGCCGAGACTCACTCAGTGTCTGCGGTGACCTCCATTCACCAGTCTGCCTTCCAGCCCTGCTCGTCTTTTTTTTCCTCCAGATTTTTCACCGTATTTAATCCTGTTTATCAATCCGCACGACATTTGCACTCAGCAGTCACCTGCTTGTCCTTCTGCTAGCATCCTCGCGCTAAAATATTCCCATTTTTTTCCTTTAAAAAAAAAAAAATCAGATTCAAAGGCCTCCAGCAGCCACTTTGCAAATCCACGTTTATGCAGCTTGTTTCATACACTTGTAATCAAATGATCTACATTTTTCAGTAGCATTTTAATACTGTGCGAAATGATCTGCAACATTTTAAACACAACAATATTAATTTTTTTGTTAGTTTTTTTTTTTTTGCAAATCTTATTATTTAGAGATCCCGTCTACCATAACCCCCCCATATGTACATATTGTTTCACGCCAGCAGATGGCACACTGGATTTTATGGTGATTATAAAGTAGGAGGGATCTGTGGATGCTGAGACTGAGAGCTGCTCTGCTCTTCATCAGGCCTTTTCTGACACACTGGAATTACCTCCACCATCATTTCAACCTGTCATTGTCTCCACCTGCATGCTACAGCTGACATAACCTATTTAAAAGGGTTACTGAAAGGCCTCTTGATCAGTTGATATTGCTGAAAGTGATTGTGATCCTCTTTGTTTAGTGATAACACACACACACACACACACACACACTCTAGAGGACTATTTGTCCAGAGATCCATCATTGTGTATGAATATGAGTGTTTGCTGCCCTCTAGTGTTGATGTAAGATTCTGGCGATACAATACTGTAAATACCTTCACTATGTAAGATTAAATCAGAGTTCAACAAAACCAGGTTTAAAATGAGTACATCCAGATTTAAAATTAATCCAAGCTTTGTTGCAGAATTGCTCATTGCGGCTGTGGAGATGCTTTCACATCCAAATTAAAATAAATGAAGACATAGTAAATGCTGTCATGATCCAGTGAGCATGAAGCAGCCTCTTGCAGCAAGCTACTGATTGGTCAGACTTTCTGCTGCCCCAGACACTCTGAACTTACAATTGGAAGCATCCGGTGGTATAAAATACAATCAGAAACATCCGGTGCTGGAGCATCGGTGGAGCGGTTACATTTTTCAAACTGCCATTTTTGACAGCTGGTCCAATCTTCCAGTTCACCTGCACAACAGCTACCTCGCTCCAGACTGATATTATCCAGAGAAAATTCAACAGCATCATAAAACTCACATAGGTCGAGTGGATCAGTTAACTTTGAATGCGAGGAACTTGATTGTTTTTTGCTCAATCTATTGCAAAAAAAGGCAGCCATTTTTAATAAACCTCCTCACATGTAAACTTAGAGGTAAAACTAGATGACATATTAAATTGGAGTTTAAAATTTTGGCACTACAGAATCTTTTTTTTTCATTCTAGGCTGGTTTTAAAGTTTAATACAACATAGTTTACAGTTAAAATATGATTAATCAGGTTTAAAAATTCATCCTTTTTGGTGCAACCTATTATATAGGTGCGAAACATGAGTAACAGAGTATCTGGCATGTTTTTTTTAACCTTTATTATCTGTAACAGGCAAAGTGGGCACATCCTGCCTACATCTCTTTATTACGCTGATGCAGTATAAGCACTTCCAATTCAGTAAGTCACTATGTTCTGTGTCATTATGAACTGACTAGACGCTAGAATGACGCGTATAATATGTTGCTAATTCAGGCAAAGCTCGCTCAAATATAAATTTAAATTCCACCCAAGGCTAAGGTTTAATTTACATTAACTGTATGTTTCATAAAATACTCGTTCTGACTGCCATCTGGAAAAAAAAGGGGGAGTTAATCAATTACTCTTGAGGATCTATAAATATTAATAAAGTCTATATATTAAGAACTGCTCTAATCTGACACGGCCTCTTAGGAGAGCCTCACGGTTGTACAGAATTAATCTTTGTGTTACGGAGTGTGTAGCGCAAGACGAAGCGTTTTTATTAACATTTTTCAAAAAGATTTCCTCACACTGCAACACTTGTGTGGCTCCAGACATCCCAACGTACTCATTAATATGTAAATACACCCTCAGGTTCGTTTGGCCTGTCGATTGTGTCCGTTTAAATAGAGGTGTATTGATGCTACATGGATTTTTGAGGCCTTGATGTTCAGTTTTTTTTACGTAAAGCACTCGGGAGGGTCTTAAGTAAATGTATTTTGGACTTTTTCCTACACGTTTTGTGAAATGTAATTGACTGAATATGTGTATTTTTTACATTGCGGTTGTATCTGGAGGCCTGTGTGATCTATTTACAGGGACCCGCTTCATTTAATGCATCCAGTTCTGACAATGTAGAGGTAAATCTGACTATTTTTTATGAATTCATGGGAGACCTTGTTGTATTCATTATACGTGAAGGGTTGTATTTTCATATTTTTTCATTATCCTTGCAGGTTCATCTATAAATGTAACCTACAATATTTAGGAGGTATGTATATTTTTGGGTTGCAGCTTTCTATTGTAGACTAATCTATCTTTTCACTGTGAACAATTTGGGGCTACATTCATGATTACTACTGTACAGAGTGATTTACTTTCCTAATTTGCTGCCTGATATTGGAAACTGTCCTATAGTAAAATAATGTTTCCTATTTATACCTATAGCACATGGGGGAATGGGATTGTTTGCAGACTCACAGCCGCTAAAGATGACTTCTCTTTATCACAAACCATTTGCCTGTTGAAGGTTCACAGCATACAAATGTTGCTAATGAATGTATTTTTGCAACTTGGACAGCATGTGGGAGTCTGTTTGTTTGCTATGCACCTGGTGATTGAAACAGATGTGAGAGATTCCTTTGTTCTGTTGCTAAATATGATCATTAAATAGGATGCATGTGCTGTCATTTTCATCTTTTAATCATAATTACTCCAGTGTTAATGTCCATAGTATTTCATTTCACCTTTTATATTAAGAAAGACTCTGTTTCAGAAGCAGGATCTAAATAAAAATATGTTTCTCTGTTTAGTTGATGATACTTATACAGATGTTTTTGCTAAAAACTACTTGAATGTAGCTGCTTTTTACCACTCCAGGATGAGGAAAGGTTTCTCACTTAGATTTATATTGTTACTGTGGGAAAAGAGAGGGTACAATATTACATTTGTTGTACTTTCATGTTTTATTTGGAGGAAAAAAAATGGGTACACATGACTACAGAGTTCTGCAATTACACGTATGTAAGTAAACTGCTGTGTTTCGTAAAGGTTTGTCTGCATGTAATGAAAAACTCATTTGATTTCCAGTTAAAAAGTAACAGTGAAACTTTAAATGCTGGAAAACCTTTTTGTCAGAGGTGTGTTTTTCCCTGCAGAGAGGAAGTTTGACACGAAATGATAGGAACTGAGAAAAATATATAAAGTGACTTCTTTTTTAAAACCAGTTTCGTGAACTGGGCCTTCTTTTAGACATTTTAGTTTATGGCATGGTCAGAAATAACAGGATAATGTGTAGTTCTCAGTCAAATAAGGTAACATGGACTCATTGCCTTTACTCAACCTGGACCTGCTGCTGTGCATAGTCACCCCCCAAAGACCCATTCTGATCCTGTAAAAACCCTGAAAGCTATACTGGTATGAATGCAACTGTACAATCATGTCGAAAACACATGTTCCTGTAGGAATTCATCACACAATGCACGCTATGCACATCTGCTTTTTTTTTTTTATCTTTAAAAGCCCCAAAATTCCATATTACTCTAGAGAAATGTGTTGTATCATTTCTACAGGCTAAAGTTTTATTGGTTTAACAAACACTACATCCCTCAGCCCAAACACCGAAGCCAGTAAAACTGTTTAAAACAAAGTTCCTGCTTTTCAGGAAAAATCCCACTGTCAGCTCCCCTGCAGTGAGTATTTTAAAGGCATTAAGGGGCCTTTGTAATGTATAATTACTGACTCAAAAGGTCACCTATCTGCATATTCATTAGAAGGATACTAAAGGAGAAGAACAAAAGATGGGAATGAAGGAATTCTAAGAACACTTAATTTATATAGGTCAACATGCATAAATACAGTTCAACCAAAATATTACCACAACAATCTGCATCAGTCTTTTTGAGTTATGACATCTTCTCATAAAATTATGTTCAACCAACAAACTACATCTGAGTTGAGGGAATTAGCTTTTCCTCCACAGTCAGAGGTAATGTTCATTTCCATTCACTTAATGCTTTTTAGCATACAGAAGCTTTTATCTTGATTCCACATAACACTGATTTGTCCAAGTAGGATTTCCACAGCATTTAGAAGGAAATTTGAAGTGTTTTGTTTTATAATAGTTGTGAGGAAAGGTTTTTAAGATGGCAAATTAAAAAAAAAAAAAAACTAACAAAAAAAACAAGCTACTTCACTGTTAAATAGGGAAGGAACTTAAAATCCTGACTTCAACATGAAGAAATGTTTAGTTCATGCTAATTTAATAAAGTTAAATCAAATAATGCAGAAAATTGAGTTTAAATTACTTATAATGCTAAGTTGATGTAATTATTAACATTATTACATCAAAATAATGTTTGCAACTTTAACCTCTGAGGATCTTGTGAAGTCTCCATGTTCTCCCCGTGCAGCGTGGGTTCTCTCCGGGTTCTCCAGCTTCCTCCCACAGTCCAAATTATGTTGAGGTTAATTGGCGATTCTAAATTGTCCGTAGGTGTGAATGTGAGTGTGCTTGGTTGTCTGTCTCTAAGTGTAGCCCTGTGATAGACTGGTGACCTGTCCAGGGGAACCTGCCTTCACCCTGAGTCAGCTGGGATAGACTCCAGCCCCCCGTGACCCTAGTGAGGATTAAGCGGTGTATAGATGATGGATGGATGGATAATAATAATAATAATAATAAACTTGATGTCCATGCACGTGGACACCAGGTCTTAAGAGGTTCACCAAAGCATTACATTATACCATGCATTTAATAAAGTGGTGGGAACCAGTCCTATTAATTACTTTCAGAGTGTAGAGAAAGTAAAAGAAGCATAAGTGGCACAGAACTGCTTAAGATATTGGAGTGAATAGTATCACTAAAAATTCAAGTCAAACTGTTGTGTTGAATCTGCACTTCCTGAGTTGTCTCTTGCGTATGATGACTTTCTAGTAGGTTTCTTGACTTCTCCCTCTGTTGAGCTTGTCATACACGGTCACTGTCATGCCTCCCCCCTCCCCTCCCCCCCCTCCCTCCCTCCCTCCCTCCCTCCCCGTCTCTCCCTCCATCTCTGTTCGTACTCAACTGCAGCTCTCGCAGCAGAACACCTCCACAAACTCCAGCTGTCAACATGCCAGACTGTAACGACTGCGTGCCGGCACCGTGCCAGGTTATCAAGGAGGACGTTGACAAATGGTGAGTTCTGACAGGAAAGACGTGCACTTACAGTACTGAAAAATAGTATTTGTTTCACACATTAACATGCATTCAAGTATGATAAAATGTGTGAGTGACTTTTTCTCCAGCCACTCTGACACTCTTTAGTGAGTGTAAGTGCATGAACAAATGTGTAACCTTGTTCTCTCAAGGGGGATCCAGTAACTGTGATTGAGTTCCAGTTAAATGCTGGTCATCACTTCTTTAGCTCTACGCATAACATCCATTGTAGTCATATTAACTTGTCATCTGGGTTTAACCTGTGTGAGTGCCTGAGGGGAAAAGCATTAACTCTGCTTTACTCTAATATAGAAAACATGTTTACAGCTTTCGATAAATCCACCTGACATCATAGGATGAGTGCAATGACATGGACATGTGGTCCCTACAGTAACCTAAATGTCTTGAGAAGCATAAATAGATCTGAGGGTTAAAATTCCACATGTATGACCTATTGCAGAAGACCGGTTCATGTTACATGTGTGCAAGAAGCCACAGATATTCCGTGTACGTCCACGTGCAGCAGTGATTAGTGTCACTGAGCTGCCGCGCAGATTATTCACTCATGTTCTTCACTAAATGCAGATAAAAGCCGCCGTGGAGGTTTGACTTGAAATACATTATTTTCAGGCAAATACTGGAGTAATCCCCGTGATGCACTATATTTAGAGATATTCCTATGTGCCCATGGTTTCAGGTGATGCAGCTTCCAACGTGTTCCATATTTTGCACGAGTTAAATTGTATGTTAAAGGGTAGAGTTCATTTTGTTAATCTGGCTTTGTGTTTCAGTGTCAGAGAGAAGGGAGAGGAGGGCTGTAAAGATCTGATAGATGCCTTCCAGGCCTGTATAAAAACTCTGTCTGAGGGATCATAATACATAATGAAACACAACTTTAAAAAAATGTAAGTTCACACAAACAACTACTAACTCTTAGTACAGATTTTCTTTCTTTTTTTTCAAACTGTAAAACATGAGGTGTGCATTTTGAAGCAGGTACTGAGTGCCTGTAAATCAGAATAACAATCAATGGAAGTTGACACTGGTGTGTTGTTTTCTTTGAGTTTTTTCAAATTAAAAGTTTTTTTTTCTTTACCATATTGTGTTTACTAATTTCAAAAGCAGAAAACCAAGAATGCAAGTTCACTGAGTTCATGAGAAGATAAAAGCTTCTGGGGTCTAAAAGGAAACTAATAACAGAAAATACACATTGTACAACTCAAAGGAATCAGGCTGCAATAATAATCATAATTACTATGCTAAAAAAGGATACTGAAACTAAAAAATAAAACTGGATTAGGAATTATAAATAAAATACACACACACACACACACACACACACACACACACACACACACACACACACATACACATTATTGACGTCTATCTATAGAGAGTCCATTGTAGGGTGAATGTACCTTTTAGACCTATTACATTTGGATGGTTTGATCACATCATTTCTTTTCTCACATATTCTTCACCACTTATTGCTGCCTTGTCACTTTTTTTTGTCTTTGATTTTCTTCAGTCACGCCTTCCCTTCCCAGCCCTTCACTCTCCCATCCTCTTCCCTGCTTATTGCACTGGACTGAACCATCTGAAACCTGAGGAGGGGGGTGATGATACTGCACTTCTGATGCTATTCTGTGAATGTGTATTTTTCTATTATAAATGTTACACTTCTGTTATGGACTGAACTAGAACACTATCATTTTGTGATTTTGCACAACATACAATAAATTTAAAGCTGATGCATTTACCAAACACAGTGTATTGTTTTTATTTGGTAACCACACATGATATAATACCAGAAATTGTGCCCTCTTTTTTAAATTATTACACACACTAGCTGTTGGAGCCTCTCCGCTGGCCGAGCGCAGGCTTCTACGCCGAGTAGTTACTCTTAATAGAATTAAGTAGAGCTTGTTAATCTCTGCTTAATCCTCACATTAGTACCTGCACTGAGCAGTCTAATGTCACTTTTCCAGTCTGAGCTCTGGCAGCGAGTGTGGGGATTGTGGGAATGCACAAAGATTAGACTGGAGAAAGGACCTGGAACGGATGCTTCTCCAGTGCTCATCTTCTCTAAATAAAATCTAAATGAGACTTTCAGAAGTTTTAGAGACAGAATTCACTCTGGGGAATATAAAAAGGCGAACTTTATTCTGCCCTACAAAGCGTACAACTGCACACACTGATAGGTTTTGTCCTACTTTTTCTTTCCCCCAGCTTAGTTCCTTTATCAAATCCCACGAAAGCATCATTTTTCCAAGTTGGTTATTTTGTCTTAAGGTTGGTAGACCTTATTTAATTCCTCCTGCTGGGTGTGTCGGTCACAACACGGATGTAGGCCTGCTAGTATTCTTTTTTTTTTTTTTTTTTTTATCTCAAAAGCTTATCAAAACAAACCAGAAAGTAGTAGGATGAGTATCTTTTCCGTTCTATTTCTGCACCGCGGTTTGGAGACAAATCCTCCTGGCTGCGTGAAAATCAACCAGCTAGGCGCAGATGAAGATGGGCTTTGGGGAATTATCCGCCCACACACAACATTTCAAATTGAGATTTTAGAGATTTTTCAAGGCACTTTACAGATGATACAATCAAATGTCCTACTTACCCTTTTTATATATATATATATATATATATATATAAAACTGTCATCTCTGTGTGATTCACTTGAATCACCACCCAACACTTCTCTGCTTCCTCTCCAGATGAGGAGGTTTAAGGAGTTCACCGAATTTCTTGTTAATTTACCAAAAAATGAAATATTTTGCTGACAGCTTATGCAGAAGGTCACACAAAGTTTTTTTTTTTTTGGTTAAGCTTTTAAGTCAATTAATTTGCTCTTCTGAAAGCAGTCGCTTTGACTTGAAAGGAGAAAGGCCGCGTCTAATTTTTACATTAAGAATGAATTTGTTCTATTCGAGTGTTCCAAAATGCCATGACGGTGTGACAAAGAGGCAGCACGTATAATACCACCGCCCTAGAACTGAAGCAGTTAAAAGGTCATTTTACTATTTACTATTGCATTTTCCTACTGTGACACGTCTTTTGTAACAACAGCCTGTCAAAAAAAACAAAACAAATTAAAACCAAATGAACACAATGGAAAAGTCATAAGGAAGCAGTTTGAAGAGTATTAGTGGTTGAAAGTAACAAATACATCCATCCATCCATTATCTATACATCACTTAATCCTCACTAGGGTCGCGGGGGGGCTGGAGCCTATCCCAGCTGACTCATGGTGAAGGCAGGAGACACTCACATTCACACCTACGGACAATTTAGAATCAACAGCTAACCTCAACATGTTTGTGGACATGCAAATTCCATGAACCGGCGACCTTCTAGCTGCGGGGCAACGATGCTAACCACTGAACCACCTTGCAGCCCTCACAAATACACGAGTATTAAAATCCTGGGGTGTTTAATTTGAATACTTTCATTTCATGCCACTGCATAAAGGAGAAAATAATTCACTTCTTAGCCCTCTACAGCTAACTGACAGTTATTAAATGTTTCTCTGACCATTAGGATTTTACATACAATACAGAATATACTGTCATTTGAAAATCTATGATGCATTTTATAGATTTAACTGCTCAGTGGTGTAAAAAAAAAAAACAACAAATCATTAAAACTGGCTCAAATATTCACAGTGTTTAAACAACAAAAACAACAGAAATACAGTACAGACAGAAATGACTTGTTTTCAATGCATTAGTGTACTTCTCTCTGTCATTTACCATAAACGAATTATATGGAATGCAGGACTTTTGCTTATAAAAGACAGGGGAGGAACTCTGATGTGTCAGACACATGCAGATTTGCAATTGGTGCATAAATATTTAAAAGAATTCAATACATGAACTGTCTGATGCTCAAACTTTCCTGGAAGAGAATCCCCAGACCCTTGATGCTCAAACAAACTTGGGCTCAAGCCCTAATCCATAACAATGATTATGTCGTTTATGGAGCCCGATCAATACATCGATTGGCTGATATCATCGGCTGATATTAACCTGCTACAGACATGAAGTTATCAGTGTGCATGCTGCCAATATGAAAATTTTCTTTCACAGAACATAATACAGAAAAAGATGTCTGGGGGTAATTTAGTAGAGCAGCTCTGACTTTGTGGTCTACAACGCTCTCAGCATTATCTGCAGCACATGTAGCAGAGAACACATCACTGGTGAGCAGAAGGCATTGTCTGATGGTTTGATAAATACATCGCTGGAACATTCTTTTGCAGATATTTGCTGTAATTTTCAACATTACAGTTATTGAATTACAGCATTCAAAACATCTTACAAAAAAACAAGCTAAAATTATTCTTCTTATTATTATTGTTGTTTTGTGGATGTTTATGGTGTTATTATTACTTTTTTTGAACACTACAGTATTCCACTATTTTATTATATTTTCATATTATATACAATATATCTGTTCTGTAACTTGCTGCTACAATTATTTAGTACGAATACTTAAAATTGTAAGATTTTTTTTTATATCTAGTAAAATTACAGAACATACATAATGTCCACATCAAAAAAATATATTTTTTACAGTAATTCATTTTTTTATTATACAAAATTAATTTTTACAAAACTAAATGCAGTTTTATTGTATTTACATATGCTTCAAAAAACAACAACAAAAAAACAAAGCAAAAACGATATAACATTCTTTAACAGATATTTGCTGCAAAACAGCATTCAAAATATCTTACAAAAAATATACTAAAATACTATGTTTTTAATATGGTTTTAGAAAACATACTGAAAACATTTGTTCATGATGTTATTTTCACCTGTTTGTTTTTTTTTAGAGTTTATTTTATATTTTATATAAGATATTTGTTTTGAAATCAAGCTGCCACATTTTTAAAAAAAAATTCTTATTATTATTATGTGTGTTTTTTTTTTTATTTTATTTTTTTTTAGATCAAATACTTATAAGCTATTAGGGAATTGAGTAAAAGTGGTTACTTCTAACCACTGGTAAAGGAGTATTTTCACATTGAGGAATTGCTATGCTTTACTGTTTTTTTCCATAAATGTGACACTTCATGAAAACAAACCTAAGTAGCACCTATGGGACACAAGCTCCCCAGCATCCAACAACCGGCAGCGTCCGGGACACATGTGCGTCCTGATGCCGGGGAGGGAGGTGTCCGCTGCGGCTCCAGGGGCCCACAGGGCGGCCGGTGCTGAGGTGAATGCAGAGATAAGCGTATTTTGAGGAAGATGATCGGGAGGAGGAGGAGGAGGAGGAGGAGGAGGAGGAAGCGGCGGAGGGCGGGGGAGGAGAGAGGAGAGAGGATGGAGAGGGAGTGAGACCCGGATGCTGATGCGAGTGAGGCGAAGGAAGGAAGAGGGGAGAGAAAATATCGATTTACGGCAAGAAAACCGAAGGGAGTATAATACAAGGGGGCCTTTTTACCCTGCGTGAACCGCAATCGGAAGCAAAGGGGGGGAAATCGGGGCGGTGGGCGATAGCGCGGCTTCATCATCTGCGGATCTTGTGTGTGTTGTTTTTTTTTTTTTTTCTCTACCTGTGTATCCGCCGGTGAGGGAGGAGGACACGCCAAAGGAGAGGAGCGGAGAAGATGCTGTGATCCGCTACTTGCAGTGATGTAGAGAGAGGCAGAGACGGGCAGGGACAGGGAGGGGGAGGACTCAACGCTAAAAAAAAAGAAAAAGAAAAAAAAAGATGGTTGTTTTGCGGGGAATACGCGCTTCTTCGCCTCGAAATATTGTGAGAATGCGGCGGCCGTCCGATGAATCTTCCCGTTTGGCGAGAAACTTCAGGCGGTGTCGGTTTTTTTGACAGACGGCCGTAGAAGCTAAAGCTAGCCTCGCTGCTGTGTGGGAGAGCGGCGGCGGCGGCGGCGAGGCTAAACCATAGCATGTTGTTGCACCTGTAAAAATAGGCCTGACGGAGAGAATAACATTCATTTAATTCCACTCACTTGACGCGTTGGACGTTTTTTTTTTTTTTTAAATTTTGTGTCGCTAATTTCAACCAGCGAAACGTTGAGCAGCGGACCGCGAAAAGGCTGCTAAGGCTAATATAACGTTTTCTCCTATTAACCGTCATATATAGTTCAAGGTGCGAGCTACACGAAATAAGCTAATGTACATAAGTGAAGCTCATTAGTTTGCTAGCCTTGTATTTAAACAAAAAAAAAAAACAGCCTAATGTCATCTCAGTTTCCCCTAATAGCGAGGTGTTTTTTCGGTTAAATATGCTCACAGAAATATTTAACCCGGTTTTAGATGCTCATCTGTCATCCGAGGTGTCGTAATTCAGTTCTCCCCTACATGTTTCATTTAGTAACTTCAGAGTGTTGTCATGTTCTAAAAAAATGCAGCCCTCTCTAAGTTGAGCATCACCTTGTATCCCACAATAACTTCTGTATACAATATCACAGTAATTGCAATAACCACAGTGCAGTAGTAGTAATAATACTTGTGTATCAGCCTCCAGTCAGAGCAGTATGAGTAAGGAACTGTCTCTAAGTCAGTCAGCTCAATATGTTGGGCCCTATCGACTGGAGAAGACTCTGGGGAAGGGACAGACAGGTGAGTAAACCAAACAAGCCATTTCTCTTCTGTTTTATAGGGCTGGAAATTTAAGTTCACTCAGGCCTCAAATGATGCTCTGCAGCTGTTCAGACTGTTTGTTTTTCTTGATCATGTGCTAATCCTCCATCTCCTGTTTTAAATCTATTAATATTGAACTGAAGCAGGACTTTGAAGCATCAAATCATAAGATTCTGTCAAAAAAAAAGCATTTCAATCCCCCCAGAATGGCTCAGACCTGCTATCTTATGTAGAATTAAAAGCTGCCTCTTTCTTTTCTTCCCTTCTGCACGTGTCTGATTCAGGACTGGTCAAACTGGGGGTCCATTGTATTACGGGTCAGAAGGTAGCGATCAAAATAGTCAACAGAGAGAAGCTGTCTGAGTCAGTCCTGATGAAGGTACGTCGTGACGAGGTCGTTGCTCACACTGACGACAACGGCGCTAATTTTGTATATAGAATGATGTGTTAAGCTGTACACAAACCGCTCCACATTCTCTGTGTATATCTTCTGTGTTCGTTAATTAATTAACCTCGACACTGACTGCTTGCTGTGCTCTGCTTCGGTATCTTCATCTTCTATTCTTTCTGTCTCTTTTTGCTTCTGCCCTCCCTCTTCTCTCCGACCAGGTTGAGAGGGAGATTGCCATTCTGAAACTGATTGAGCATCCGCATGTGTTGAAGCTGCATGATGTTTACGAGAATAACAAATACCTGTGAGTTCCCTCTGCATTCACAAAGAGCCTTGCACTCTGGCTCAATGCAATCTGCACGCTTTTGTCCATGAATACTGACGTTTGGAGTGGGATGGGTAGAAATATTACCCCAAGAGCTGTACTGATTTGCTCTCACGACTGTAATTCTCACTTTTTCTTCTAATCTGTCTTGAGGAAGGAATCCTTTAATACTTTTCTAGTACAAACAGACAGGGAGGTTAACTGAAAGTGAGTACGATCACAGTATCATAGAATCCAAACTAGTGTTGACTAGTTTAGACATTTCAGACTGTTTTTCTTGTTCCTTCACACACTTCTTTCCTCATAGCGACCCAAGTGTAGAGTCAGAGCGTTGACCCTGTTTGTCGACAGGTACCTGGTGTTGGAGCATGTGTCTGGAGGAGAGCTGTTCGACTACCTGGTGAAGAAGGGCCGGCTAACTCCGAAAGAGGCCAGGAAGTTCTTCAGGCAGATCATCTCTGCTCTGGATTTCTGCCACAGTCATTCCATCTGGTTGGTTCCTTCACAGAGTCGGGGTTCTTAGATGTGTAGGATGGTGGTTTGGGTTCCTGAAGCTCCATCTTTAAACAATAAAAATAAATCTTTGATGTAATAAATGGGTGGGGAAACCTGTGATTCTGCAGCCGGTATCAATGACGCTTTTCTCAAACCGATGATGTAATCAACGCTACAAGTCTAAATACTGTCTGTTGTGTTTGTGCAGTCACAGAGACCTGAAGCCTGAGAATCTGCTCCTGGATGAAAAGAACAACATTCGCATCGCTGACTTTGGCATGGCCTCCCTACAGGTGGGAGACAGTCTGCTAGAAACCAGCTGTGGGTGAGTACCAGCTCAGTGTGCGAGATCCTAAATAATTAGCATAAAAAGTGTCAGATTTTGTATTCAGTAACGGTATATCTATGGATTTGACCTAATGTATTCTCCAAAGACAGATTACAGTCGTAGCTACAGAAGCTAACAGTGACATACACCGCATATGAATTTCTTCCCTATACCTGCTCCTACTATTACTGCTAATTCTTCTGTATTTGTCATTTTTCCTGCAACATTTCAGATCACCACATTATGCTTGCCCTGAAGTTATACGGGTAAGTGTCCTGCTGTGATACTTCATCAGATGTCATAAAAATGAGCAAAATGTTTAAATCGGTGGGAAAAATCCTTAATTACAAAGCTACACAAGCTAAAAACTAACCAAAGATATCACTAATTATTTCAAAAATGAATTCAAAAACTTCCTAATGGTATAGTGACTCCGTCAGTTGTGTTGTTTTCGTAAATGCTCGTCTTTATTAAGGGTGAATCTTTAGGGCACCGAGCACTCAGAAGATTATCCACTTCTATCAATGAAAAGATGGTTTACAGTGTTTTGAGCTGAGATTTACTAAGTGCTGGATTAAAATGGATTACAGCGTTTTCTTTTGACAGAGATAGTCAGCGGGTTGAGTCTTAAATAAGCCTTAAATCAGTTTAAATGATCTCAGTGAATGTTACCAATTAGTGCGACTCATTTGTGTTTTCAAATATTCCGTTGTGAATGAAATCGCGGGGGATTCTGTGTTTTGGCAGGGGGAGAAATACGATGGACGGAGAGCAGATGTGTGGAGCTGTGGGGTCATCCTGTTTGCCCTGCTGGTGGTAAGTCTTAAACTCGTGTTTTCACAGTGCAGTTTGGTCTCTTTGTAAATGTGTCTTTTTTGCATTTTGTACTCACTTCCCAAGTTTACTTTATCAAATCTTGTTTTTCTGTCCTCCCTCCCTCCCTCCCTCCTTCGTCCCTCCCTCCCTCCCCGCAGGGTGCTCTGCCGTTTGACCATGACAATTTACGCCAGCTCCTGGAAAAGGTGAAGAGCGGTGTGTTCCACATGCCCCACTTCATCCCACCGGACTGCCAGTCTCTGCTCAAGGGCATGATTGAGGTCAACCCTGAAAAGAGGCTCACGGTATGAGATTGCTCACACCGGTCCAAGTTTCATATGCAGACTGTATCCAGAAATAATTTAGTCAGATTTACACCTGCATTAAGTTGTCCGCCTTGACCTGGCCTTGCCTCTCCTTCCTTCGTTCCTTCCTTCCTTTTGAATATATAGTCAAAGGGAGCAGCTTAAACCTAGAGTGCAGGACGTTTAGATACAAATGAACGCCCGTTATATTCGAGCCCTTACCAAATGAGTTCACACAGTGCCGATTAAGCCTATCAGTGCTGGGTAAATCTCTGTACTTTGCAGCATACCGGAGTTTTAAATCTGCTTTCTGTGGCGCCATTCCCACAGTGGTGCACCGGTATAGATGCATTTTATGTGAACCAAAGCAGTGACTGGTTCATCAGAGTCAAAGAGGCGACCAACTGAGACAGAGAAGGCTGCAGCAGCTGCCGGAATGTGGCTAAAAAATTTAGAAGGCATCCGAGTAAAGTTTCTGGCACTCCAAATACAAAAAAAATCGATGTTCACAGGAAGAGTTACAGTCTTAAAAAGATAGCGATCGACAGCGACGGATACGTTATAATCACGCATCGACAGTGTTTGTGTAATTACTCTCACTGCCAGAAGGGGGAGACAAAAGTTTTGCACTGCAGGTTTAATTCAGCAGCTGTTAATAATACTAATATTTTTAAAATTTTGGTTCATTTTAAGATTTGTCTGCTCATCTGTGCAAGATTAGCATTGTAATTATACTAGTATAGTAACTGTTTTGTTGTATAAAATTGTAGCTGTGTGTAAGCAGCAGGTTTATAGTTGTGTTTTTCTTACATGTTTGAGACAGCCATCAGCTCTGGTGTCACATTTATACCTGGTGTAATACTATATCTTCACCTCACATAGTTGTAGTTCACTGCCATGTTTTGTTTTATTAGTAAACCTTTATTTAACCAGGAGGTCTCCTTGTCAGACACATTAATGTTGCAGAGTTGTCTATTGCCATTTCAACATATAATGTTGAGCCCTGATGAGATGTGTGAATGCAAAAAAGAAAAAAAAAAAAAAAGACGTGTGAACTGTTTACACTGCACAGCTCTGTCGCCATCTGGCTGCTAACAGACTGTAGAAACTAATGGCCCCATCTGCCCTGTCACCCCTTGCAGCTAGAGGCCATCCAGAAACACGCCTGGTACCTGTGAGTATACGTTCATTCTTACGCACTCTGCTGATGGTGCATTAAATATGAATCATACACCTTACATCTGTGTCATCCTCGTGTGCTCCGTTGCGTGTGCTTGCGGCTCTTAGGGGTGGTCGTAATGAGCCGTGTCCCGAGCAGCCTCCTCCCAGGCGAGTGTGCGTGAGGAGAATCTTGTCCCTGACTGAGCTGGACCCAGATGTGTTGGACAGCATGCACTCACTGGGTTGTTTCCGAGATCGAGTCAAGCTCACGCGTGATTTGCAATGTGAAGAGTAAGTTGTTGTTTTTTTTCCTCCAAACACGACAGTAGTTTTGAGTGCCTGATTGTGCACTAAATGACTGGAAAAGTCAAAACATCTCTCAGTGACAATGGTAGTATTTATTTTAGGACTTCAGCACTGTGTTGTGCACAATAGTCATCATTCTTGTTATTTGGACATGTACTTAATGGGCGTCACTGAGCTCATACATGGAGGAAAGGCGTTTTCAGTGCTGTCTGAAACTGTAGACAGGAAACCGTTTCTTCTCCACCGAGCCATGCGAAACTCATGTTCTGAGTCAGTTTGACTTCGCATAAGGTTTAAAGGTGTCAGACTGTGAATAGCTGTGTCTCCACCAGGGACTAGATCCTCTATAAGATAAGGCCCCGATATTGCGCTTTCACATCCTTCCCAAGAGATATGATCTAGCCTCAAAAATATCAGAATGATAGTGCAGTCAGGTACTCCTTGTCCAGTTTTAAGTAATCAGAAGGAAGCATTATTCAGGCTTCCAAGTATTACATTGTTTTGTATTTTAAAAAAAAAAAAAAAAGCAATTTTTTTTTTGCCTTCTTGCTGGTAACAGCGAAGGCCGAGCATGTTATGTTGTAAGGATGCAGCTAATTTTAGTTGTTGATTTACCCGTCCATTATTTTCTTGATTAAGCTGTTAAAAGTGTTTCTCAAAGCCCAAGATGACCCTAAATTTCTTGTTTTATTCACATCCCAATTTGTTTACTGTCATACAGAAGAAAATAACCAGAAACCGTTTTAATTTCAGAAGCAGAAATCAAAAACCATGTCTCCTACGAAAAGTGACTCAAACCAGGCCAGGTTTCAGGTTGTCTGACTAGTCGTCTGATTCTTATCAACAAAATTAAAGGTCTTCTTGAAATGTGGTGCAAATGTTCACTTAAACTGATTCAAGTTCTTGGTCAAGGCTCACCGTGGCCTTGCAAAGTATGTTTTTTGCCATAACTAAAGGGTTAGTGTGCGAATTATGCTAAAATCAAAAACATACAGGATTAAACAATAAAGGTATAATATTTTACATCCAAAAGGTCAAAGGTCAAGCCTCTACTGACATGGACGTAATCGGCAACTTGAGTATTCTGTGGAGACATACAACCATAACTCTAGTTTGACTCGATATGATGTATTCAGGATCCAGCTACTGAAGATACAGTGACACACATACAGTGGAACATACTGTCCTTATATGTGTGGTGCAAAGATGCCAATTCTGTCCTGTCTGTTCCAGTACAAATCAGTTGAATAGAGGGTTTTATAAATATCTCCTGACATACACTCCATGCGTCTGCGTGCTTGTGTCATTTTGTGGTGCGGTAACATATCAGGACCTACACATTGTATGTACACAGACCCCACCCTGATCGTGTATTGTTCCTTTCTAAATCATTTACTCTAAAATGTAGCATCTCCTCTCATGCGTTTCTTTTTTTTCTTTGTCACAGAGAAAACCAGGAGAAGATGATCTATTATCTACTACTGGACAGGAAAGAGCGTTACCCCAGCTATGAGGATGAGGACTTACCTCCGCGCAATGACGTAGGTCAGTCATTAGGGGGCAGGAGGGATCCACTCAAGGGAGGACGCTCCTTTTCTCTCAGTTGTATCACAGTCTGTGAGTCTGGTGTCCACACAGGTACTGACTACCTCTACCAATAAATCTGGGATTACTTGTGCTTATGCAAGGCTGTTTTGCTCAGATTAGCATTACCATTAGCAATAAAACATAAAGCAATATGGAAGACAGACAGAGAGGTTTGTGCCAATGTGCCCTCTTGTCAGATTTGGCTTTGTTGGCCCGAAGCTCCCGAACAATTTTTAGTTTTGTCTTTGATAGTATTGTTAAACTGCCAACAGTAAGTCGTAATTGTCTTTTACAATGTTCATACCAGACTTCACAGGACATCTGCAAGATTTCTCTATGGGACAAAACTGAGAGGGGGCAGCCATTCTGCCAGTGCAAACGAAGCTAAGTTTATCACGATCACAGATGGTGCAGTGAGCGAAAGGCCTGTGGAAAAATTACTTTCAACATGATCATACTTCTCAGAGGTGCAAAACAGAAAATAAATGCATAGTGAAGATGGTGAAGAGCCAGCACCATTCTTACTAACAGGAAGCAAAAGGCTTTATTAGAAATGTGTTATTTTATTTTGAGAACACTTGACCACTGCCACCTTTCTGAGAGCAGCCCTCTTGTATTACACAGTGTATCATGTATTGATGTTAAAAAACAAAACAAAAGAGGAGCTTTACTTTGAACTGCTGATCAATTTATGGTCGTGTTCTTCAGCAGATCCTCCGCGAAAGCGTGTCGACTCCCCGATGCTGACGCGTCACGGCCGCTGCCGTCCTGAGAGGAAAAGCCTGGAGGTGCTGAGCGTTACTGAGCAGGGGTCTCCCACCCCGCCTCGCAGGGCCCTGGACACAGCTGCACACAGCCAGAGGTACGGTGTAGTATTCTTAAACACATACATACATACCGTATACATAGGGTGCAAGAATTCAGTCTCCCACAGTTTCTTGTTGCTTATACTCTCTTTTCTGACAAGCTTTTGACCTTTGGTCTCCTTGTCAGGTCTCGCTCAGTCAGCGGAGCATCCACTGGTCTCTCCTCCAGCCCTCTCAGCAGTCCCAGGGTAAGGCTCCGTCAGCCAGCGTGTAAAAAACAAAAACTGTTGCTGCACTATCTTTGAACATGATACAAACACATTTTAAAATACAGATTTTTCCAGCATTCCACTTTTTTTTATGACTTGACTCCCACCTGTGACCTATTAGCACCAAAGTTCCAGTTTTAAATTTATGTGCTGCTGTGTTTCCCAGCTGCCAGTGTCAGCATGGTGTGGATTCCTGTTGAGGCCCAGAGTTGCGTCACATTTTGACCCTGTATCTGTAGTCTGGTTGGGCAACAACAACACAGTGTGTGGTTTGGGATTTTGAGATATTGTAGCTATTAAGAGAGACCAGGGAATAATTTTATGTCTTTAATCACTTCATTTTAACGGCAATATTCCCAGTAATATTTAACATTTTGTGTTTCACAGGTCTATTCTAGTGTTGTTTTTTTAACCATAAAAACCATTAGACTCTTCACTTTCTCACTAATTCTTCTGTAAACTATTTATATCAGTATGCTGTGATAATTATTGCAGCATGTTTTTTTAACCGATGTCGCCCGCCCCTGCATTAAACTGCCTTACAAAAATTTAGACACTCTCCACAACCCCCCTAAAATATCCATGTATTTATCTCCTCAGTCATTTTTACACATCATCACAACACCTCAAACGAAATGTCTCACCCAGCAGGAGGTTTGCATTTTTCTTCTGTCTTCATGTCCCTTCTCTTCCTCCGCATGCAAGAAGTAGTTGTATAGCTCTTTTTTTTTTTTTTTTAGAAAATATAACCATTAACTTAGATGATTTGTGTGATAGTTTTGGTTTGATCATGTTCAAAAAAGCTGTGTTAGAACAGTGTGTACATGGTGAAATTTAGAAAAAAACCTAATTGTCAGTAACACTGCCACTGTCCTCTGTCATTCTTAACCCTGTCACCGCCACAACTGTCACTAAACCCTCACTTACATGAGATATAAATCGCACTTACAAAAGACTAAAAGGGCCAAAATGAAAGCTTTTTATGGTCAAGCACTGATAGCAATGCATTTGGCACGTTCACTACTCACAAGATGCACTCTTCTGTCATTAAGCATGATATTCATTTCCATCCTTTCTCCATTTTCCATCCCTTCTCTTTCTTGTTTTCCATCTCTCCCACCCCCAACCCCCCGACCCCCACAAACCCCACTCCCCAGTCCTATCAGAGCCCCGTCTTCACTTTCAGCCAATCAGACGTCACCTCTGCCACCGCTTCCCCCCTCACAAAGGAGTCCAAACAGGGAAGCGCCACCACTCCTCGCTCAGCACGGGCTCATGACAAGCCCAAAGCCCCCCCCAACCCAAAGACCCAGACCTTGCCCACCAAGGGACCCGCCGACCGTCCCCATCTGCAGCCCATCAAATCCCTGCCTCTGCACAACCCATCCTCCCGCTCGCCCTCCCCCTCCCCACTTCTGTCACCCATCCCCCGTTTCTTCTTCCCTTCGTCCTCTGTCCTAAAGTCAGTGACTAAGAGCTTCTACCCAAACTCTGCCCACTCTGTGCCGCAGGTCACTCCCCAGGGCTCTCCGTTGCCCACACCCTTGGGCACCCCTGTCCACCACCCTCACCACCCTTCCTCCACCCCGCCCTCCTCTTCCTCGTCCTCGTCCTCCTCGCGGGCGGAGGGAGGGGGAGGGGTGGGCTCGCTGTCGCTGACCCCGCCTTCAAGCCCAGGAGGGGGAAGTGGCATGGCGGCCAGCAGCTCCGCCCACTGGAGGACCCGCCTCAATTCTTTCAAGAACAACCTGCTGGGCTCGCCCCGTTTCCATCGCCGTAAATTGCAAGGTGAGTTCTGCATGTTTAGCGTAATAATACGTGGGAGCTACGTTGTGTTCTTACCTCACAGGTGTGGAACAACCGGAGAAGGTCATCCTTTTTTCTAATGCCAGTAAAACATTAATTTTCTCTTTCAGCACTCAGTATTCAGGAACTCTAAAATGGCCGAAGATCACATCGCTACCTTTTTTTTTCCCTCTTGCTTCCAGCGATAGATCTAATGTTGCACACAGATTTTAAATGTAATAGTGATTTGTCTCTCTCAGTTCCCACATCAGAAGACATGTCCAGTCTAACACCAGAATCCAGCCCAGAGTAAGTCACATCCTCTGAGATGTCCCTCGTTATCACAGTATAAAGTCGTGTATACGTTTTCTATTGCTCTCTGTATTTGCTCATACTGTATGGATGTATATTGTTTTTGTCTGGCTACCAGGCTGGCTAAGAAGTCATGGTTTGGGAATTTCATCGGCTTGGAGAAAGAGGAGCAGATCTTTGTGGTGATCAGAGACAAACCTCTGAGTTCCGTCAAAGCCGACATCGTCCACGCGTTCCTGTCTGTAAGTACCTGATGCTGTCCGTCTGTCACATCTCTCACTGTTCGTAGAAAGCATGGCTCTCACTGGCAAAGCTGTAACAAACTCACTCTCATACTGTGCGCACTTCATTTCTTTCATTATTTCAGTTTTCTCTTCTTTTTTTTTTAATCTTTATTTAATCTTTGATCACTCGTGGCACGTAGATGGATCACTTTGCTTTCACCAATGGCTCACTCTTTCTCTCTCCTCTCCTCACCCTCACCCTTTGTCTCCCTATACTCACGTTGGCCCCATACCTCTCCCGCCTCGTAAGTCTGTCGGTCTCTCTGCTTCTTCTCTGTCTCCCCACCACACAGATCCCGTCTCTCAGTCACAGCGTCCTCTCGCAGACCAGCTTCCGGGCCGAGTACAAGTCCTCCGGCGGCCCCTCCGTCTTCCAGAAGCCCGTCAAGTTCCAGGTGGACATTGCCTTTTCCGAGGGCGAGAGGGAACGGGACAGGGAGAGGACCGAGAGGGAGGGGAGGAGGGAGACAGGAATCTACAGCGTGACGTTCACCCTCATATCAGGCAAGCGGGGTGGACATTAGACACCTTGTGTTGTGGATTGTTTTACTTTCAGGAAAATGTGGAGTTTTGGGTAACATTCTAAATAGGGGGCTGCAAGGTGGTTAGCACCGTCGCAGCTAGAAGGTCGCCGGTTCACTTCCCGGTGAGGACACCCGGGATCTTTCTGCGTGGAGTTTGCATGTTCTCCCCGTGCAGCGTGGGTTCTCTCCAGGTTCTCTAAGTGTAGCCCTGTGATAGACTGGTGACCTGTCCAGGGTATCCCCTACCTTCACCCTAAGTCAGCTGGGATAGACTCCAGCCCCCCATGACCCTAGTGAGGGTTAGATAATATATAATATATAGATAATGGATGGATGGATGGATGGATGGATGGATTCTAAATAGGAAGAGTTATATTGAGAATCAACACCACGCTCATGTCTGTATATAAAGCTAAAGGGAGAAGATGGTTAGCTAAGCTGAGCACAAACACTGGAACTGGGGCACAGAGAACTTTTCTTTTCTTAACCTATTTAAATACACCCTATTTTTAAAGTACTTAAACTTTGCCACCCTTATTTATTCTTTGATCAGACATTTCCTCAAGTACATCACAATTTTTGTTATATTATTCTTTAAGGCAATCGACATTTGGCACTTTACCAAGTTTTTTAAAAATCTGTCTGGTCAAAAATAACTTTAAACAGAAAACATGGTGTGAAAGAAATGTGCTTTTTGGTTTTGATGCTAAAACTCAGATGTCATGTTGGCACTAATGTCACTATTTTTGGAACAATACCGACCATAAGTTGCATGTGTTTGCCGTGGAACATCTCCAGGTCCGAGTCGCAGGTTCAGACGAGTGGTGGAGACGATTCAAGCTCAGCTTCTCAGCTCCCATGATCAGCCACTGGTGCAAGCCCTATCTGGTGAGATTGCTTACACACACTTGTCCCAGAGTTTCCCCAAGGGATTACTCTATCTATCTATCTATCTATCT